TGATAAATACAGCTTACTCCAAATGGAGTGGGGTGGAAATAGCTAGAAAAGGAACCTACTCAGCATTAATGCTTCCTAAGTTCTACTCAGTATTCTTTTAGAGAATAAACAAAACAAAAAAACAAAACAAAACAAAACAAAAAAAACCAACAACAACAACAAAAAAACAACAACAAAAAAAACCCAAAAAAACCCAAGAAAACCAAGACAGAAAAAAACACTCCACATAAACATTTTGAAGTCATTATCTTCCTGAAAAACTACATTAAAAAAAATACAAAAACAAAAAAGAGAGAACTTTGGCCAGGGCAAACCAAATAGTTATTTAGTACTTCCTGCACAACAGCTGAAGGTTTTGTTATACACATCTRGGTACATACCCTGCCTATCTCCTTCAAAGGAAACTTGGAAAGTGAAACAGAAGGTACAAATAATGGATACGCAATGTCTTACTTTTCCTCAGCTCTGAAGCCCCAAATTCCACTCTAGATCATGTCATGACAGGTCTAGGCTATGCCAAAAGAAACAAGGCCTAAGGAAGTATCTAGTGAAACATCACAAATGTGTGTTATACCACGTCTGTTCCTTGTAAAAATCATTACAACTTAGGGCTTCCTGATAGCTCTGCTTTTCTGGTAGAGGCCACCAAGTTTACTGAAACAGTCAGATTCCTCTTGGAATATGCAAACACTAGACAGGAATATCACCTTTCAGACAGACTAAGAAAATGGAAAAAGAAATTAAAGCACCAAGCCAGAAGGTCATCTTTACTACACTTCAGAGACTGTCTGCCTTCAGAAAGTAATTTCAAAACATGGAAGTCACCATATTGCACCACAAGCACTAGCTGAGATCCCAAAACCAGATTGCTTTATTCTGCGGGTAGTTTTCACCTTAGATTGCCTCTATACCATCTTTGATTCCAGACCCTGATACTACCTTGCACTTGTCTGCTAGAAATTGCTTCTACCCTTAAGCAGCATGGGGCGCTTTCCTTAGGCAAAGGATTAAAAATGCCTTCTACTCCCCAAGGTTATAACATTTCCCTCTCCTTGCACAGCTAAACTTTTGTCCCAGCTTTAAACCAAAACATTACACTGTGTGAGTCAATACATTGCTCTCGCCCAGCATGCAACTCACACTGTGAAATGAATGGCAAAACAGCTAAACAGGAAGCCATAATCCAGTAGCTTCAGGCTCTTTACCTCTCACCAAATGTGTCTGCAAATTCTGAGTATGGGGAAACGGCAAACTGCGACAACTGAAGACCACTAGTGCCATCTGGAGGCCACACAGAAGAGCCCACCTAAAATTTTATCAACCTCTGCTCACCTTGAGTGTTGTCCTCCAAAGAGAGCTTGCCAGTGCTTGCTGCATGAACATACCAGCTGTACAGCCACAGTGGATGAGAAARGCTTAAGAACAATTAAAGATACTGTTCGCAATAAATTTATACCTATCATGTGAAAGCATTCAACTACAAGTCTTTTGCCATAGCTGCCACTTTAGCTGAAACTGCTTAGTGGGCAGTTGAAGTTCAGTTACAGAACCAGAGCTACTCTCCAGCATCAGGACCTTGGACGAGAGATAACAGCTCGTTACTTTCATTTCCTCTACACCTCTTCCATAGTGGTACTGGTAGAGCTGACCACACCACAAAGCAGCATAAARATACCTGGTGCCATATTTAGTCTCCATATACTATCTACCTCTCACAGAAAGCTGACGRATGTGATGCAATTTGAAAGAAAAAGGAAAACTTTAATTAATAATGCTATGGTGTCCTGTAGATATATGTGTCCACTTGTCGTGTGTGTGTCCACTTGTCATGTGTGTTGATGCCACGTGCTCTAGTTTTGATTATAGTTTAAGCAAATGGAATCTAAACACACATAAAACTGTTAAGGATTTCAGAACACTAAAAAGTGATTTGCAAGTATTACTGACATGGGATCTTAGCAAGACTGAGTTGTACACTGTAAAGAGGTCTTCCCTCAGTCTCCTCCAGGCAGAATAAACCAAGTGACTTCAGCGTCTCTTCATATGGCTTCTCCAGCCCCTCCAGCATCTTCATGCCCTCCTTTGGACTCTAATAGCTTTATGTYCTTCTTACATTGCAGTGATTGAAACTGCGCACAGGACTTGAGGTGAGGCCACCCCAGTGCAGAGCAGAGTGAGACAATCCCCTCTCTTGCCCAGCTGGAGATGCTGTGCCTGATGCACCCCAGGACACAGCTGGCCCTCCTGGCTGACAGACACACTGCTGAATCATGTCCAACGTATCATCAATCCCCCAGATACCTTTTCACAGCACTATTCTCTGGCAGCTTATTTCCCAGTCTAACCATACATCCAGGGTTGCCCCATTCCAGGTGCAGAATCCAGCACTTTCACTTGTTAAACTACATATGGCTGGCTATTGCCCATCTCTCTGATTTGTCAAGGCCCCTCTCCAGGGCCTCTCTGCCCTCGAGGGTGTCAACAGCTCCTCCTTGTTTAGCATCCTCTGCAAACTTATTCAGCATGCCCTTGAATCCAAATCATTAATGAAAATGCTGAAGAGCACAGGGCTGAGGATGGAGCCCTGTGGAACCCCACTAGTGACTAGTCACCAGTCTGAYGTAACCCCATTCACTATAACCCTTTCTGCCCAACCTGTGACCAGTTGTTCACCCATATGATGATGTATTTATCCAGCTGCATGTCAGACATTTTGTCCAGAAGGATACTCAGAGAGAGAGCATCAAAAAGCTTTACTGAAATCCAAAAAGATTACATCAACTGGCTTCCCCTGATCACCTAGGTGTGTCCTCATGGACAAGTTGAGCACAAATCAGCAGTTTGCCTTTCCAACAATGAAGACTAACTACAAGCTGGACTGTATCAACAAGAATGTAGTCAGTAGGTTGAGGGAAGGGATTGGTACCTGTTACCTGTGTGTCCAATGCTTGCCAAGCCCTCACATCTAGAATATCATGTCCACTTAAGAGCTTCCCAATAGAAGCATTCACTAAGAGGTGCAAGTAGGGTGGAGAGCAATTAAAATGGGCTGAAAATATGCTGTATAAGGAGAAGCTGAGGAGAAAAGAGTTGTTTAGCCTGCAGATAAGAAGGCTATGAGCAGATTCAACAGTTGTGTTCAAACCCTTAGTGCAGCAGTACAAAGACAGATTTTTCTCAAAGATGCATAGCAAAAGGCAACAGTCAAATTGCAATAGGAGAAATTTTAGTTAGATATAAAAACCACACATATATTAGTAGCGAAAACAATCAAATGTTGAAATAAGTTGTCAGAAGAACTACAAAATTTCCATTCATAGAAGTTATTACAAACATTATGGTATAAAGCTGCAGAGCATGTGCCCGAACTTTGAAGAAGGTCTTAAGAAGGAGGCTGAACTAAAAAACTCCATATTTCCCTTCCCACCTAAATAATTTGATGATTCTGGCTTTAGGGATTCACTAGAACTGTCTGACCAGTGTATTTCAATTGAAATATACCTACTTCCTCCCTCATTTCCCTTGCCAGACTTCTAACATGACTGAAATTGATAAAAGAAAAAAAAAAACAAGCAAAAAAAAAAAAAAAAAAAAAAAAAAAAAAAAAAAAAAAAAAAAAAAACACATCCTAAACCATACACATCCCCATAAACACTTCCACACTATTACCCCCAAGCAAAATATGTTACTCTACTGGCCAAAATGCACACTTATCCTCAGAGATCAGCAGAACCACCTTCAAGATATTAATGATGGTGTAAATCCTATTTTTGAAGACCTGCTATGTACTGACCATTCTGAGAACAGGCTGGCAATCTATATTATCATGTTTCCCTCTTCACTTCCCAAAAACATGCAATATTCGCAGCTAACAATTTAGTTGCCAGCTCCCAAGAGAAAAGTCTCGCATGTTTAAGGCTCCCTTCCTAAAGTGAATATAGTTGTCAAGTTTTTCACTAAGGAAGACGAGCTTCCCCTTTCTACCTCCTTTTAGGGAAAAAATGTGTTCACATTATCTTTGCAGGCAGAGGCACCTCACAACACACCTGAAGGGTATGCATTGATTTAATGGATATTTCTTGGGGGATCATTATTTACGTATTCTTCAGGATTCATTATCTTCTTTGGACAAASATTATTTGGATTCAGTATCTACCCAAGTCAGAGCCATGTCAGGCATGAACCCTAGAGGTATTCTGAGGACATCAAATGTGCTTATAAGAAAGATACAGCATTACTTAAAACTGCTGCTGAACACAGTCATGTGATGCTCTTTTCTCAGCTGTCACTGAAGTTAAAATTCTGATCTGCTGTGAATTCAGAGGGATGATTGCTTCAAATCTATTAGTCACTACAGAAAAATATTTTGCTAAACTTCCGTGATGAAGAAAAACAGGTATTTTTGGTAGATAAGTGTTGATTCTAGGAAATCTTAGATATCCTTCATGACTTACATGCAAAGGAAAATTGTTATCTTGAAGGGTAAAAACTGCGAACTAGTCTAAAACCACTTAGGGGATACTGCAGAAAATGCAAATACTGACCTAAAATTTAGAAGAGTAGTTAAAAGTCTTAAACACCAATACAGTCATCAACAGGTCTCCAACTGCTTTTTTTTTAGAATAAATTTGAGAAACTTTGGATTCCCTTCCCTGTAGAGAATGGAGAGGAGGCACAAAGGTACCAATAATCCCAAGTTTCAAGAAGAATCCAGCCTTGAGAATGAACATGCCACTGATGATGCGTTTGACCATTCAGCCCTTAAGAGCTGAAAACTTGCTTTATTTATTACATATAAAAACAACAAAATCTCTCACTCAGATCCCATAATCTATATTAAGAAAATTGATGGGACAATGAAGTATCATCTATTTAAACTCTGAAGAATTCCMTAACTGGCGCTTTCCTCATTTTACTATTGTTTTAGGAGTAGAGAGGCAAGCCAAGAAATGCCTGGATCACCAAGAACAGGTACATTGAAAAGAAGAATTCTCCCATACCTGGCCAATCCTTCCTCGTAGAGATAGATGACAAGTGGATCATAAGATGTAACCAGAACATAGAGACGCACATCAAATTTGAAATCTGAAATACAGTTGTCAAGAGTCAGTGACTGCAAATATCTTTTACACATCATATCCTGTTGAGAAATTTCAACAGACTCTGAGAGCAATAAACCATTATCTGCTTCTGACATAGGTGCGTGAAGCTATCCCAGTTGAAAAGCTTCCAGGTTTTAACGAATTTTCTAGTTACATTTGTCTGGTGCTAGACCAAGGTAGACCACTCAATTATTGAACTAAACTCATACAAAGGTTGCATAGATCCGCAGATGCAGGGCTGGGGGAAGGGAGAAAAGCAATTCCTAAGCACACTTACCATCTATGAGCAAGGGGTTGCTGATGTAACGAGAAACCAGGATGTTGTCTTCCACAATAATTTGGTTTGGCTGCAGAAGAACAGAGAATGCAAGAGTGAACAAACAGAAGATGTAAGGAGTAAGAAGAAATTACATYAAATCCACAATTTTTTCTCGCCTTTCCCTCCTAAAGGGATAACTGATAACTATGTCTGGGGAAGGAAGAAATAAAACCAAAATGAAAACACGTGACTGTCAGTCACAACACATTTAAGGTAATTAGATCCTAAAGAGAAGTCTGGGAATGATTACATTGCCAAAGAAACCTGCCCATTGAATTTTCCATTAAATACTTAAGAGTAGAATATAGATTTAACAGCCACATGGCAATGATGTAAAACAGGCAGAGAAAAAAAAAACTCCATATCTAAGAAGTAACTGTTACTCTGTTTGCTTCTCAAGGATTTAAGCAAACACATGGAGAAGGGATTTAGAAGACACAGGAAGGAGTATGTAACCGCAGTTGGTGAGGAAGTCACAAGTGAAGAAAATGACTGAACTTGTGATCTTTGTAACTACATCCTGGGCTGGTATCCAACCTTTTTGCCTACCTTCTACTAACTTCTAGTTCACAGCAGGAGCTCCTGTACTCAAATGAAGCTACAATTGTAGCTCAGAAAAAAAATTTCTAACTATGACAAATACACATCACAAAGTCATGGGACCTGTTGAAAAAGCTCTTTTTGCTGTATGCAAGCCTCTCTTGTAACCAGTTTTAATTACCCAACAATTTCTTGTACAGCATTTTCTTGCCCTCAGTTTGCAAAAGAGACAAGAGAACCACAGGATTCTGCTTTTATTCAAATTTGCACATATTCAGCCATTAACACCAGCATCATGAGCAGAAAAGTGCTTATACAGAATGTGAGAGAATAAGTTCAGCTTCCCTCAGAACATCACACAGGAATGACAGTCTGTTCTATACAGATCAGGGAAATGCAAAGGTTTGTTATTTTTTGCAGGGGGTTATTGTTTTCAAAAAACTTTTATGATGAGATTCTGAAAGACACTCTTTTAATGGCATCACACTGAAGGAAACTGGCCTGTGGGCCAAACTAGCTGCAGTGTTTCTCAAACAGAAATACACAAAGGGATTGGTCCCAGAGGGTATTTTCCCCAGGTCATGGCCAACTGCCATATGAGCCTGAGCTCATTCCTCCCTTTCAAGCAAAGAAAAAACTGAGTGTAGCTTTGGAAATACTTACCTCATACACTTGGCAAATCGCTCCCTGATTTTATGGGAAATGATCCAAGTAGAGAACAGATGAGGCAGCATGACCCCTTCAGTGCAGGGTAGGCTAAGGGGTTCGAATGAGCGAAAACAAAATGACTCAACAGTCATTTTGCTGTTGAGTGTATTAATTGGAAACCCTTCATGTGTTTGGCTCCTATTCAGATGTATTACCTATAACAACCTAACTCCCTGCAAAGCCCAAAAAGAGCAAAAGACACTAAAACCAGCATGTTGAGTTCAAAGAACTCCATTACACCTCAGGAAGGAAACACTGGCCTCTAGATAGCACAGTTTTAAGACTAATACACTTCCTACTGTATCAAGTTTCATTTAAACTCGTCTTTTCCATGAGGAASTGGGAGACAAGGGATCTGTTTGAGGACTGTTTAGGTCATGCAGGGAAGCAACTAAGGAGAGTTCTGGTAATCTTCCCAAGGTCAGCCTACTGACAGCCACAAAGAGAGCATGAAGCAGCACAGCTTCCCAAACTGTCTCAGGGAGGATAAACTTGCTCCTAATAAGCAAAGGCTTAAAGGTAGATTGCAAGATAAGCACAGCATAGAAAAAAATAAACTGCTTTTGGTTACACAGCACAGGCCCAGGTGGGCTTTGCAAGCTGCTCAGTGCTGTTGAACTGCTCACCGATATATGGCTGAAATTCAGAGTAAGACCAGTGTCTGGTTAGATGCCTTTTGCCTGGAAGCTGACATACTTTTGAAGACAGTGTTACTGAAGAACAGCCCTTTTAGTGAATACTTACATTATTTATCAGGTAGACACCTCGACCTCTGGAAGAGGCCACAGGCTTCACTATCCATGGGCCTCTGTCCTTAGAATAGGTACCTGGTTAAAGTAAACAACAAAAGTCTGTAACATCTTCTATTTTGCTTATTAACAGAGTAGCAAGAATCAAGAATGTTGCCTTTGGTAAAAGCTTTCCAGAACTCCATAAGCAGATCAGAGTGTGCTTTTCTGATGTGTTATTTTACCCCTTTGGAATCACTGCAGCTATTACAGTCCCTCCCTGAAGCCCCTCCTGCTGCTCCAATACATACATTCTTCTGCCCTATGACTCCTTTTGGCACTTCTCTCTTCAGTACTCCCAGGCATTAGACAGGGATACTGTGAAGCTGATCAACAACACTGTGCACGTAAAACCCCCTCAATTCTGGAGTCTCAAGCCCGTATCAGCTTCTTAAGAACTTACACAAGCATGAAGTAAACAGCAGAGTAGAAATTACATACAGAAATCATGTGGACCTTCTCTGCTGTCTTTCCAGCTTCCTCTAATTTTGTTGCCTTAACTAATGGCATGATGAAAAGGCTAGGATTTTAAAATAATTCCCTTCCCCCCACACCACATTATTTTGTTTTATGTCTGGGCATCACCAGCCATTCACTTACTGCAGAAGTCCTGGTACTCTGTCGGGAGGATAAAGGTCTGAGGTAAGATGTGGAATGTCTTGAATCCATGGGCCAGCTGCATTCGAGAGACATTCTTGTACAGTCTGTCCTTTCGTGTCAGTTCATATGACCTGAAGTCCCAAAACAAGAGACTGTATCTATTTTTTCCCCACATTACAGCAACCCTTTGTCCTAGTTATAAAAGTATCTGTAGCCTTGTCAGATGTCTAAATCCTAACCTGCAACTACCCTTGAGCTTTACTGCCTCTATCTTATGGTGATATTAATACAATTTGTAGCACTTCTTGCAATTCTGAGATAGACTAAAGCACAGCAATCTCCTGTAACGGTGGTTACAAACTTTAGCASGGGACATAGGACTATCTCTCTAACTAAAAACCCTAAGTCACAAATAATCATCAAATAAAGAGAATACAATTTAAAATCCAATATTTGAGATACAGACTCATATACTATCCGCTCAAAACTGTAAAGACCATTTAGAATGAAGACAGCATGTGGCACTGGCCCAGTCTGTTGGGATTTTACAGTACTATTATATTCTATTTAGGTATCTATGTTCAGATTTTTGCAAATCATCACAGATATTCAACAAAACATGGTATCAAGGCCTTACCTAGGGAAATGATTGACTTTCTGAATATCTGTAAGGGAACGCAGCAAATAGGGCTTCAAGTGTGATCCTGTCCACATGAGATTGTATTCGGTACTATTAGGGTGGACCTAAAAAGCAAATAAAAAACACCACACACAAAAACATAGAACTAATGAAAAGCAATGCCACTTGTCCGTAGATCTACAAGGCCAAAGCAATTCTAGTTTAAGACAGTCTCCTCTACTATCTCTAATATAAGAGCAATTCCAGCCAAACTGCTGCCCTAAGGTATTCCCATGCTGGGAAATAACCCTGTCTAATTTTTCTAAACAAACTTATGAGTTTATTATTTTCATAGACTGTGTCAACACAATTTGTAAAGCATTTAAAATATGTTCAGGAAACTTGTCAGACCAATTCCTTAAGGTGGTATTAATCTGAAATAAAATCAACCCTATACATTTCTCAAATTGTCATTAGCTGCACTCGGAGCATTCTTTAGGGTAAGGCAGATGTTAGAAGTGTGAAACACTACATCAGTACTTCTGAAAGCTTGTAAAGGCTGAGAGATTGAATCTTTTAGACCTTCCCAAAGGTGTGATGCTTCAAAAGCAAAAAGAGAAAAAAAAACATGACCAAACTTCAGCATTCTTTTTTCCCTACTTTTGCAGGCTTAAGACTAATGAGTTCTCCTCTGAGAGTGAAAAATTATGACACATTTCTGGTCTGACTAGCAGGGTACATTAAAAGATCAAACCAAAAACCTCAAGGACGTCCATAGCAACTTCCTGGTTGTAACCMTGCAGAGTTATGGRRAAAAAACCCAACAAAACCCACAAAAAATCCAAAAACCTTATTATTGCCTCCCAGCCCAGCACAAAATCAGATCAGAAGTTTGTTGCACTGACCTCATGGAATCCATGGGCAGTCAGAATGCTCCGAACCAGTCGGCTGTCTGTTCGCACAATCTTATAGGACATGTGGTAGCGCTCTGCAAAGAAGCAAAGAGACATGGGATTAGAGTCTGYACCTGGAAGAATAAACCAGAGTCACTCAGGCTGCCCAAGACAAGGACTCAGCACAGTACAGCTGCACTTAATTCACACAGAGTAGCAGCACATAACAGGCAAAGGGTGATAGGAAATGCCTCTGTCACTGAACTGATTTACATTAATTCTTAGTTATAATATAGTTGCATCACAGAACCCCATCGGAAGAAAATAAAGCACAGGACAGCCTAACAAATACTCAGATTATTTTTTTAAACATTCCATTACACAGACTGCTTTGTAACTACAAACATGAATTCAGCTTTCTTCTCTACTCAACATTAGTATTCTTAGATAAAAATAATCATGTCTTATGCCCCTCATTGACATGGCTAGCTTATATGATCACTTTTTAGATCCTGAAAACCCAAAATAAAGCACTGAATTTTTGTTTACATCTTATTCACCTGTACTGAATCTTCCAACAAATAATAGCAAATATAGTAGGAAATAAAGTAAAGAGTACAAGGAAATAAAAAGATAAACTCACTACACAATTAGAAAGTCATAAAACCAAAAGCAGCCCTGGAGGTATAAGATAAACCAAAAGCAAGTAGCAAGACTAGAGGTCAGTTGTCATATAAAAGGATGAGCTTAAAGACAGTAGAGAAAGAAATTGCAATGCTAGAATACAGAACTGCCTAGAAAAGGCACTTTACAAATTGATTCAAACTGAGAATAAAAAGGTGAAGATTAAATTAAACTTCAGAAGTATGTTCTATCAACAAAAGTAAGTTTAAAAAGTAAGAAGKATCATAATCAGGAACCAGACAAAGCTGAAAGAAATTTAACAAGTTGCATTATTCAGCAGTAAACTTGTTAAACCAATGAGAAAGAGCAGAAGAGGCCCCACGCTACAGTTAAAACTTGGGCTACAATTACCATCAGCTTCTGGCACCATCCAAGTATGTTTTTAACTCACATGAAAAGGATCAGGAGTTTCCACACATAAATCACCTTCTCCACCCCTTACCCCAATGAGCCAGAAGCATTTCTGCTTGGATAGGATACTAGAAATGAAAGCACCAATTACCTAAGAAAAGAAAAAGCAAGAAAAGAAAGAAGTGTCAGCACCTTCACAAAAAGAAGCTGAGCAGATTTAGCTTTTCTCCAACTCAGCACATCCAGAATGAGCTCCCAGCCATACACACCCACAAGTACTAACTTTTTAAATTCAAAGTGACTGTTTATAACAACCCAGCCTCTTTAAGTGCTCTCCCTTATTTGACACTAGATAGGTTTGGTCTCCCAACTCAAGTACTGCCAGAAACCATTTTGTTTATGACCTTCTCACAGTTGTGAGGCTGTAGACTCAAAGATTYGTCTCTACAGTTTATTATTCATACAACTGTGGGGCTGGCTGCTTTATTCCACAGTGAAAACATTCTCAAAACTTACTGCAATGGTTGATTTTAAGGTCTTAGCTACAGTGAATTTATAGTCTAGTTCTAAAATTCTAGCATGACCTCCAAGTTCAATTTGCAAGCAGACAGTTCCAACTCAAAACACATCAGGGCTCAGTGGAAGAACACACACTTATCACAATACAAGACAATATAAGCATTCACCAATGGATTAAGCATTTCTGAATATGTCAGTTGACAGAGACAGGAGATTATTGTGATTTCTTTCCTACTGCGTCCTCTTCCCACCACAAGGTGAAGGGAACATCCAGGCAAGAGACTTTTACCTCATGTCTTCAAGCCAAAAGCTGGCCCATAGAAGCACCCACCTCCAATTAGGCGGAGGTAGCTGTCCTTAGTCAGAATGGCTTCAGCATGAAACACCAAGACAGGAACCCGCCTGCAGCCACCACCAGTCCACTTGATACATGGATGATCCCTGAAATGATAAGATAGTCAGTATAACCAACTGCTGGGCTTCATATATGCAGCAGCTACTTAGAATAAGGATACCACAATTCTCCATACTTACCCACCTAGCCTGTGGACAGGACATAAACAAACACTCTGGAGAAAATAATGGAAGATTGACRAGGAGGGTTGTAAACACACCTAAGTGACCCGCAGCTTGGGTGTAGAAAGCACATGTAACATTCTAACTGTTCTCTATCTTTGTGTGCTTCACAAGTAGAACATCTGATGTCAGACAACACAGGACTGCAATAGACTTCAAGGCACCCTATCGAACATGCTTGAGATTCCTCCCCTACTGCGGGAAAGGTGAAAGCACAGTGGTAAACTACACCTGCAAGAATCCCTGAAAAACAGGTGTGAACAGCAGCTTTGGTGATCCTCTAGCAAGGACCACGCTCCACAGTGCCTCCCTCCCTGCTTGCATGCCTCTGGTGCTGCTTTGGGGATCTCCTAGTTAGCAAGGTAACAAAAACGAATTCACTCTTTGCTTTTCAGACGTAGTTTTGTGGTTGTTCCTAAGCCCTGCCTGTGCTGACTTACACATGCTGAGCATCTGTGTCTGTTCCAGGCTCCACCCTGGTTGGATGCCAGGCACCCAACAAAGCTGCTCCATCATTCCCCACCCCTGCAGCTGGACAGGGGAGAAAAAATGTAATGAAAGACTCGTGTGTTATAGACAGGGAGAGATCACTCACCAATTACAGTCACARGCAAAACAGACTCAACTTGCAGAAACTAGTTGACCTTATTACCGATCAATATCGGAGCAGAATAATGAGAAGTAAACCAAATCTTACAAACACCTTCCCCCTTACCCCTCCCTCCTTCCYAGGCTTAACTTTATTCCTGAATCTCTACCTCCTTCCCCTCAGCAGTGCAGGGAGATGGGAAAGGGGGGTTACAATCAATTCACCACATGTTACTTCTGCCATTGCTTCCTCCTCAGTGAGAGTCCATACCCTGCTCCAGCATGGGGTCCCTCCCACAGCAGACAGTCTTCCACAAACTTCTCCAATATGAATCCTTTCCATGGGCTACAGTTCTTCATGAACTGCTCCAGAATCCAACCCTTTCCACCGAGCACAGTACTTCAAGAACATCCTGCTCCAGCATGGGCCCCCCATGAGGTTACAAGTCCTGTCAGCAAACCTRCTCCAGTGTAGGCTCCTCTCACCATGGTCTGGAGGTCCCTCCCAGGAGCAGTTACAGTATATGCTTCCCATGGAATCCCAGCCTTCTTTTGGGCATCCACTTTCTCCAGCATGGGGCTCCCTCCACAGGATCTCTGCACCCTCACAGATTTCCATGGACTGAAGGGACACATCCTGCCTCACCATGGTCATTATCACAGGCTGCAGGGAATCCAGGCACCTGGAGAACCTGCTTCCCTTCTGACCTTGGTGTCTGCAGAGTTCTTCCTGTCACATATTCTCACTCTTCTCTGAGCACTATTACCCCCATGCAATAACTTTTTCTTCCTTCATAAATATGTTATCATAGCGGTGGTTCTACCATAATTGATGGGCTTCATCTTGACCAGTGGCAGATCCATCTTGGAGCATTGGCTCTGTCGGACATGGAGGAAGCTTCTACAACTTCTCACAGAAGCCCTCACACTACCAAAACCTGGCCACAAAAATGGAATACAGCACCCTTGGTACTCAGTTATAAAGGGAGTCTTCGAGATCATTCTCTTTTTTTAGTTGGTCTTGCCAGTCCTGGCAAGTTTAGTTCTGTATTTATTTTACTGGGTATAATCTGGGAGAAGCCTCACAAGCTTTCACAGCTACAGTTCTCTGAATTTATAGCCTGGAAACAAGATCTATAATTCACGGTAAACCACAATTGCTGTTATCCATGCAACCAGACAGTGCAGATTCCAACCTCCAATTTTAGAACTGCAGATCAATGCAGTCTGCCTGGTTGTAATACTAGCATCTGAAGTGCACAAAAAAAAACACTAACGCAGCATTGGAGAGACTAGAACAGACTTGGGCTTAACACAATGGATAAAGTTGTATATTCTTCCCTTTTAATTCATGTCAGATATAGTGGAATTCAAGCCCAGAATGCAAGAACGATGCCCCCCAGTGCACCACTGGGTGCATCACAAGTTTTGAGATGCAGTGATCAGTTCTGTATAAAACAAGACTACACTGGGAAATACCTCCTCAGAGGAATTAAGGACACCAAAATAATTAAGACCTATTATACAAAATTCTTGGATCACATAAAGAAAAACTGTCARCCTCCCTAGGCAAATAAAACTCGTGCTGTTCATTGCCACAGCTCAACGAAATTAAAAACATGAAAAAGTTAACAGAAAACAGAGACTGAGGGATTCAAGAGACATCTCCATCTACCCAAATAAGAAAAAATACAAAGAATGACAGAGATACACAGCAGTATTTGTCTATAAAATATGCAAGATCATTGTCTGCCAAAGGTTTGGGGAAGTTACACAAGACAAAACACCTCCAATACTTAGAACACAGCAAGAGAGATAAAAGGACAAGGGCTGATGCTAGGACAAGGGCTCTTAAGTGTAGCTTTGGTCCTCTTAACAAAGTTACTACCATTATCACCCAGACAAATTAACTTCACAGCACTCCCAACTGCTTCCCCTACCTCTAAAAACTAATTAAAAAAGATCTACAACCGGTATGTAATTAGCTGTTCAGACTGGAAGGACCCAAGAAGCTTCCAGAATTTACACTATAGGCCAGAGCCTTATGTAAGTGGAAAATGAGCTGAGGCAACAGGACAGGAGTTTATATTAAGCCTGTCCTGAGGATTTGCAGCAAGGCTCAATCCTCCAGGTGACAGTCATTCATTCCTAACATGACCCTTGATCACTTGATGCAGACATACTATTACAGTTGCAGTCTAGGTGAAGTTAGTTCTCGAGCTTTCTATCCATAAAGATCTAGCTAATCCAAGGCAACCACTTGCTATGAAGCAACATTCCTCTAAATGTGTTAAGTCACTGCAGTCTGCAGCTGGGCACTCAGTCACAATGTGCAACCCAAAAAAAAAACCCTAACAGGACATAATGAAGTAGGTCCAAGTGAAACAGAAAAGGGATTCCACTATGGGAAAGAATAAGGGAGCAATTCCTTCACAAGCAAAGCTAAAACAAGTTACTAAACAAAGATAGAACAATCATTATGACTTGTTACTAGTAAGTAATATGAACTCTAGCAGTTATGACCAGACAGCTTTTTTTTAAAAGGACATAAAACATTGTACATCAAACTATTGTACATCAGATTTCTATTCTCTGCAGCAGCAGAAGCTTAAAAAAACAAACAAAACCAAAGAACAAAAAAAATCCCCCCAAAACACACACACCCCTCAAAAAAAAAAAACAAAAAAAAAAACCCAACCAAACAAAACACAAACCCAAACAGACACATATAATCAAAAAGGTTCCCAGCTTAGGAACACGACAGAAAGAAATCTGTGAAACTACAGACTTCAGAGCAGCCAAGGAACAGCTACACATCCAGCCCTGATGAATATGGTGGTCTTTTAGGCTACGGATGTAGGTAGACTACCCACAGGCTTGAGGCCCAAACCAACCACCTTCTACTTCATAGATAGGAAGGTAAGAAATGCATCTCTCTTTTCAAATTACTACAGATTCACCAGAAAGCACAGGCAYATAGAAACGTTTCAGAGGGTTTTTCCCTACTTACTCCAATCCAACTACTGCGTCTTCTTCCTCATCTGCAGATGAGCCAGTTTCCTCCAGATCTTTAGCCATCCCAACTGGCATTTCCTCTAGGAATTTTCATACAGCCCAGTCCCAGTTGCAAGAGCAGTTACCTGCAATAAGGATTAAAAACGGGAATGCATAGCTGAGCAGGACAGCGAGAAATCAGGTAACTCCCACCTCCTGCCACTACATATTTCTCATAGGACTATCAACAAGTCTACTAAACATCTGTGATCTGTCAAACATCACCTCCGAGCCAGGAGCATACAGAAAGAAGCATCACCTTCCAGGAGATTATTCCGCACCTACCCGTGAGAGCCGCTCGGGCGTTTACCGGTAACGCGCATCCCTGCCCTGCCCTGCCCTGCCCTGTCTCGGGCAGCAGACCCACGCCAGACCGGCCCGGCCCCAACGAGAAACGCCCCCCAAGACCGCCCCGCCGCCCGGGGCCAGCCGGACACCGTAACGCCTCCACCGGCGCAGGAGCGACCCTCCACCCGGAGAGGCGCCTACGGCCCGGCCTACTCCGCGCCAGGCCAAGCACGGCGACCTCCCGCGGCCCTAGAAGAAGCAAGAAAGGCGGGGAACGCCTAAGGCAGCAGGTCCCCGTGCTCGCCTACCTGCCCCCGCACAGCCGAGCCGGGCCAGGCCAGGCCGGGCCGGGCGCACAAGGCAGCCCCGGCCCCTCCCGCCGCTTCCCCGTTACTACAACAACCGACGGGCGGCGGCCCCGCCCCGGCGCGCAGGCGCCCCCACCGCCTCACTGCGCAGGCGCACTCGCCCCGCCCCACAGCCCCCCCGCAACCACCCTCCAGTGGGCGGGGCCGGAGGCGGGACCGCCTCCGCCCGGCGAGGGATCCGATTGGCGGGAGAAGGCCTTACGTCACGTGGCGAGCGCATGGAGCGGCGCCCAGCGGCCAATCGGAGCGCTGGGTGGTGGCGCGGGCGGGGCCTCGGTGCCGCCGCGGGAGCGCCGCCGGTAACGGGTGGGGACGCGTCCTGGGCCTGGCGAGCGCGCTCCGAGCCGGCCGGGAGGATGAGCCGGTTCCTGAATGTGCTGCGCAGCTGGCTGGTGATGGTGTCGGTCATCGCCGCCGGGAATACCCTGCAGAGCTTCCGCGATCACGGCTTCCTCTCGGAGAAGCTGTACACCGCCAGCCCCGGCCTCGGTAAGGGCCGCACCGGCCGTCCGGGCGCCTGGAGGTCGCCTTCCAGCCGTGAGCTTTGGGCTCTCCTCGGGGTCCCACCTGTGGGGCCTAGGAGCCGCCTACTGCCCCGGCGYGCGCCTCCGCGGCGGGACTGGGGGTGGTAGGCAGGGCCGTGTGTGGTCTCCCATGTGCTCCCTTCTTCACGCAGTGAACGGGCTCCAGGCTCGGACCTTCGGCGTCTGGACCCTGTTGGCATCAGTGATCCGCTGTCTCTGCGCGATCGACATCCGTAATAGGACGTATGTAAAGCAGCACCCGAGAAATCCATTGGTTTGCTTGCTAGTCACAGCCTGAGCTTAGAGAGGGAGGCACARAGGAGGTGGGGACTCAAAAGCTATTACTGAGCTTTCTATAGTGTTGACAGTATTCCCCTGAAGAAGCTCAAATAGCAGTGTGGGATTTGTGTGATAGCTGCTGCTCCCTTCTGCCACTGGAGACAACCTGCACGTTTGATTTCTGTTCTAAGCTGAGTCAGAAACTGGTACTTACTGCTTTACTGTCACTTCTTAACGTCACAAATTTCTGAGCCAGCTTGGAAAGCGTTTTCTGATGGCAYTGCTGCTCTGTTAATGAAGCAATTGTGGTCTGACTGATGCCCAGTACTTCTTTTACTATGACAGCTCAGCTAAAGACTGGTTCAGTTTTAAGACCTTTTGCAGTGGTCTTAACCGATTGCTTTCTTTCATACACTTACCTGGGGCTGAGGACAAGGCCTGAGGTGCAGCCTGATGCCGAGTGGGAGACAAGCCATATCTCCTTGTGCTAACAGAAATGTTTCTGAGAGGGGTTTCCAATAAGGCTGACTTGGGGTCTGTGCTAGACAAAGTCTTTATTGGGGGTTGCTAAAACACTTCTGTCACCACTTCTGAGCCCCACAGCAGAAGTCACTGTTCACCTGGCAGTATGTGCTTGGATTGCCCAGGCGTACCTGAGGTAGGGAGGTGCAGAGACTAAATGATGTTTTTAGGAGGTGTTGGCAATGTCAGTTGCCATGAATCAGTTGTTTCTTTGAGGAATTTTATCTGGTGTCTCTTGGACCTGCTCCCTTTTCAACAGCTGTGGCCCATAGAGGGTAGCAGAGCACAGGTGGGAAGACACTGGGTGATGAAGCCTGAAGTCAGCCAGGTCTTGTCACCCTAGTTYTCTACTCATCCAGTTCTCACCTTTTTTTTTGTGTGTGCACTTACTTCTCAGTTCACTGGTGTTTTACTCATGCTCTCCCCTCTTCACCTGCCTTCGGGCCAGATAATGCCTATGGCTTTCAATGCACCACTGAACATGCTGCCCCATTCTCCTCTCAGCTGTTGCCCAGGGAGTTCTTGCACCTCACTAGGCAAAGGACAAAGTGCCCTCTGTGCTGCCAGTGAGAGCAGATGGGGTAGCATGCAGGTTTGCCTTTTCTTCCACTCAGCCATAGTCACACCCATCATATGATATGATAACCTGCTTTTTTCTGCTCTTCAACAGCCTCTATCACATCACGCTCTTTACCTTCTTTTTGGCCCTTGCTCACTTCCTCTCTGAGGTCTTCATATACCACACTGCAGCCTTGACAATCGGAGTTATGGCACCCCTCATGGTAGCAAGTAAGTAGAGCTCTGTGTCCTTCCCCTGCAAACTCTCCCTGGAGCTATGACACCCCAGAACTCCCCATGCTGCTATGGGCTAAGGGCAGGAAGGGGATGGTGGGAGGAGATGCCTCAACTCTGTTCCAGCATTTTCTACACAACTCATCCTGTATCTCTGTATCACAGGTTTCTCCATTATGGGGATGTTGATTGGGCTGCAGTACCTGGAGGTAGAAGCGCTATCACAAAACAAGAAGAAAAACTGAAGTTGAGGGCTTTGTGTAGGTCGRTGTCATCTTCCGCCTTCACTGCCAGACTTCCACAAAAGCTCATCTGAACTTCTCCAGGACACCAATCCCACTGGTGGGTCAATGTTGGACTCTGTCAATCACTGTCATTACCAAGTGGTTTTTGTCTTGTCCAGGCAACATTTCAACTGACTCATGTCAAAGACCAAGTCCCAGAGGAGTTTGTGTCAAAGCTTATGGGAGGCAGTTGGTGACTGACTCCTTGGGTAGGTAGGCAAAGTCTCCGACATGGCCAGAGCACTAAGGACTTCTCTCCCAGTGTACTTGTGGGGACAAGGTGCAGAGCTGTCCAGGATTTGCTGAACACTTTTGGACCAGAAAGAGAGAATAGGTGCTACCCCTGGCAATGCTGTGTAATTTGCATGTGTGTGTTCCCCAGGGGCCATTTCTAATAAATGACAAAAAATGGCAGTGTGCTATGTTTGTCTTTCGCTACACAGCAGCGGGTAGAGGATCAGAGCCAGCGGCAGCTTCCACTGTATGTTGCACAATACATCATCTCTCTTTACAGCAAACCTGCCTTTCCCTCACTGCTTGCCACAGCATAGCAGGTATGACTGCACACATAACACAGATGAARAGGGTTGTTGCAGCTCTCTCTTTTACAGCATGCTGGTGACAAATCTATGCACCTGTGAGCGAGGACTGAGCTATCTGTGTAGTGAGCTGTAACTACAGAAAATGGAGAAAACAGGAACAGGTTCCTTAAACCTAGAGAATATAATGCCCAGAACAGTGAGCAGCACACACARTGCAGGAAAGAACCAGCAAGAACTCCTAGCTGGGAACACAATTCACATGCAGAAGAAAGGAAAATGAGGGAAAAGAACACAGCAGTAGCACTGGGCAGAAGGATGATTTTTCCATTCTGCAGAATATTCMAGGCTATTAAATGAGGCACATGTATACTATTTCCAACCATTTAATATGAATATGTCAGGTTTTGTTGTACACTTCAAATGTTTTTATTTTACATTGAATTTTCTATTTAAAATMATTCTAAACCCCCATTCTCAATCCCAAACTATCAAAGATAGTACTTCAATCATAGAAGATGATGAATTGGAAGGCATTCATCAGGATCACTGAGTCAAACTCCTGGTCCTGCACAGGATCCCCAAGAATCACAYCATGTGCCTGAGAGTTGTCTAAGCACTTATTGAACTCAGGCTGTATCAATATGTAAYGTATCAAAAAACTATTACAATTTCACCCAAAAAAAAGTTTTGTCATAAATAGTATGTCAGAGAGGAGTATTTTTAACTATTCCATCTCAGTACAGCTTTTGTCCCCTGCCTCAAATAATACATAAGTAACTGTATGATTTAAGGAGTATAAGGATACTTGATGTTTCCAGCAGGAGTGGGATGCTGGAGAGAAAAGAGAAGTGATAAAAGGATCTACATCTGTGTTTCAAAAATAAATAGCATACAAATGGGCAGTGTCTGTAAGACACAAATGCTGGTAAGTGAGCACCTCCTGTTATCTGTTATGAAATTAGAAGCTCCCACACTGGAGCAAATCTGGATTCCCATCATACCACGCTCTGTGGCTGTAAAGAGCAACACAGCYTTGGCTGGTTTTCTCAATATAACACTTCACAAAAATTTGTATGTAGTGTTGAAACATGCAAAAGGCACTTTATTGTGGAGGAGGAAGACACAGTCTTCAGCCCAGGGAACATGTGGTTTGACTCTTATTGCTAATGTAGTGATGAGCTAGATTTAGGCTGCAGAACTAGTCCTTGCCTTGACATAGGAGGCATATTGGTATCTCTTAATTACTCCTAGTATTTAGGAACATAAGGGCAACCTTAGTGAATTCTGAGCAGAGKTTTTTCCAAACTATAAGTGCTTCATTTGGGAAAGATAAACAATAAAACCAGCTGGCAGCAGCCAGTGCACTGCTTTGAACTTGGTAGTGTACTGAGGCCTCCGCTACCACCTGTGCAACACAGAGCATCCATGGGAACTAAGGCAGAGCAGTCCCTCTTCCTGAGAGCCAGTTGAAAGCTCTTCCAGGGCTGCTTACAGAGCAAGTGTGTCCAGCTTCTGCCTTTCATGTCACAGCCACATGCGAGGTGCCACCATCATGCTCAGGGTTAGCCTTGTACTGTGGCTTTTTTTTCAGTACATGTGCTTTTCCCAAGCATACATGGTGGGACTGGGGGGGACACAGCAGACTCTCCCAACTTTTCCTTCCAAACACTGAAGTCTCCAAAACAGCAAGATGCAAAGATAAAACTGAAAAGAGCAACCCCCCCTCTTGTTTTGCTCTTTCACACTCTCCACCAGCAGTTCGCTGGGCTCCTGTCCTGAGGCTGCCTCCCTGCTATGGGGTGCATGTCACAGGAGGATGGTGCAGGTAGAAAAGATGGGAATGAGGGGGGCTGTATGTCCCAGCTCTGCCACCCCTTCATTTCACAGCCGTGATTCCTCAATGACTTTGGAACTAGTGTAATCTTCTGGCAACACTTTCTGCAAGTCAGAGAAAAACAATGTGGTTAGGATCCTGGGTGGCCAGACCCAGGCTTCAGAGACATCAGCTGTCCAGAGCCTGGCTAGTTTATCACTCCGCGCTAGTGTGCAGAAATCCCCAAGGAAGAATGGCCATCCGCAGAGAGTGCAGCTGGTTCCCTCTTCCTCCTCTAGACACTTCAATTGCCCAAGGAAGGGGCACTGGGGCAGTGCAATATTCTACTTCATTTAAGCTACTTCCTGTCATTCTCAGACCACTCTTAATTCACTGTGGGGCTGATACCACCAGAAGTATCAGACCCACCGACAGTTCACCAGCACCACTTCCTGTTACACAAGCTCAGCCTCAAACCATCAAGTTGCAGGGCCAGTTTCTTGGGCAAGGGAAGGTGCTGGAACTCCTTCATGCCATGAGGCAGCACAGTGTCTGTGCAAACACAGAGAGAGCTTGCATCCTGTACATCCTCAGGAGGCTCAGCACAACAACCAGTTCCTCTGTGTCCTTACTCTAGCATGTCTCAGGCCTCTTCAAGTCCCAGACACATTGCTTGTCTTGCTCATCTTCTAGTCTTTTCATCCCCACCCCCACGCTCATTCGAGGGCTGGCACCCTCTGTCCTACTTCTTCCTTTCCCCAGCTTGGATTTATGGCTGAGATAATTCTACAGAGTGGTGCCTTCTTCAAAGTTCATTACTCATATCTTAAAGAGCCGTAAGAAATAAGAGGCAAACATACTTAAGTCTTTTTCTCCATAAATCCTGTAGAAGAACTAGCCTAATTTCTTCAAACCTTAAGATGAAGGGAGCAGTAATCATTTCCCAGAGGAAAAGCAAGGAAAACAGAGACTGCTGCCCAATTACCACCCTATCCTCAGCTTCATGGAACAGCCAAACTGTCACAATTCCAGTTCAGCCTTCATGGGTGGAGTTTGACAAGCTCAGCTTCTKAGCCTTTCTGGGGTGTGTTAGGATTAAACTTGAGATTTTTATTCCCCTAGCAGATTTCTGATACCTCTCAAATTCTTATTCTGCTTACAGTGAGACAGCCCAGCTGTCATTAATTCAGAAGAGAGCATGCAGACTTTTAAGGGTGAATGTGGAGTTTCTGTTGCCTGGGCTCTGAGTTTACTCACTGTAGGGCAAGACTGACATCTGAGGCAGAAATCAGAGGTGCACAGGAAAGAGGTTCACATCCCCAGTGCAGTTCAAGAGAAGTCCAGGCAGCATGGAAGCAAGAGACATAAAACAGTCTCATTTTGAGTAGGCTCTTATATAATAGGTGAAAAGGTTTTACAGAAGTCAACAGCAATATCCCAAAGCAGAAGWGTGAGATAAGGAAAGCTTCAAAGAGATGCCTGGAAGCAAAAGCCAGGAAGTGCAAAGAGGGAACTTCAACAAGCAGGAAGGGCAGTGGGGTGCATGAAGCAGTGCCAGAGGTAGGAAGAAGCGGAMATCTGCATTTAGACTTGGGGAACTGCACCAGAATGCACCATGGAATCACTCCAGCAACTCTGAACAGGCTCCCCAAGCATCTCTGGGGTGTGAGCACCAGACATCTACTGTGGAGCTACTGGAGCAGAGATTTACATCAGGAAGTCTGAAGGGCTCCACCAACTTGGGAAAGGAAGGCTGCTCTCACAGCTGTGAGTTGCAGTACTGGTGGCCTGCCTATGGCTTTGGGACAGGAGAAGAAGGATGCTTGACACACAGTAAGCACAGAAATGGAGCAGGGAAGTTTGGGAAGCAGAGGATTGGTACACAGTGTTTGTGCCTGCTACACACAATTCCAGCATTCTTTTATTGGTAGTATTTCACTAGAGGTTAAGAATGGTGCAGCTTCCAAAAGAATCCAGAAAGCTACTGAGGGTGGACACTTGTCCTGATGCCCTATACCAGATTCTAAATAACACTGGCCTTGGAGGAAAAGTAACATGCCTTTGGGTATCCCATGCAATCCATCAGATGCATCTTTGCATCCAGACAAACATACAACCAGTAAAAAAGATACTTGGTCCTGATTGAATCCTGACTTATCCAGGACATGGTTTGAGGACACAGCAAAACTTCAGTCCTGTTTTAAACAAATCCCTTGCTGTGGCTGTACTCCTAAAGCAGGTCACTGGTAATGCAAAATCATCCTCTCATCAGTGCTCAGCTCTTCTGGTAGCATTACACTCCAAAGGAAAAAAAAATTTAATTTTATTACAATTTAAAAATCAGGAGAAAAACTGACTTTACTCCCCACACTGTAATCAAGAATAGGTTCTTCAAACACATCAGCAAAACAATCAATTTATCTACTGCTATAAAAGACTGGTACATAGTAGTCGTAAGTGCCCTGAACACACTTTTCTCAAATTTGCAAGCTTCAAAGAGGCCTAGCAAAGCCCAATCTGAATGAAAAGACAGTCCTGCTATTTAAGAATCTTGCAGTGATATCTTTCCTAAAAGCCCACAAAGCTTTAAAGTATTTCCAAACAAATGTAGCCTAAGACTCTGYTTGAATTCAAAACAAGTCAAAACAAACCATGGAAGATCAGTAAAGATGCTTTTTTCTTAATGCAAAGAAACAATACAAAAAAGCTTGCATGGATGCTGGAAACCATGAGCAAATGAGCACAAGCARTACACAGCATATTTGTGAGTATAATATGTATGCTAAGTCAACTGACACTACTATGAAATCTAAAGGCATTATGTTGGAATGGCTTCAGATGCRCTTAAAACAAAGGGAGCACACAAAGAACCTTATCATCACATGAAACAGGCGTTTGATCCAAGTGTCCTGAGATACAGAAAGCTAAACCAGCTGGAGCTCTRGGAACTGAGGCAGACAAAAGTGGGGAGGATTGTTGGGACCACACTACAACTTCATTAACAGAGGAAAAGTGTACACAATACCATTAGGCTCATTTAATCTACTAACTGCAATATTTGTTTAATTATAACCATTATCAGAGAGAGATCACCAATGGACGAGAAAATGTTACACAGCCAATGGTACAGTGCTTCAGTGGAAAGTGTGAGATCTGCACAACTCTACAGCTCTGCATGCTCTGGAAGCTCACAACTGACTCTCAGTCTTCTTGCARCAACCACAGAATAGTGTAGGATGGAAAAGCCCCTTAAGATCATTGAGTCCAACCATTTACCCAGCACTGCCAAGTCCACCACTAAACCATGTCCCTAAAAACCACGTCTACATGTTTTATAAATACCTTCAGGGATGGTGACTCAACCATTTCCCTAAGCAGCCTGTTCCAATGCTTGACAACCTTTCCACAGAAGAAATTTTCCTAATATCCAATTTAAATCTCCTGTGGTGCGACTTGAGGTTGTTTCCACTTGTTCTGTCACCAGTTACTTGGGAGAGGAGACTGACCCCCGAGCTCACTACACCCTCTCTCCAGTTGTAGAGAGCAAAAAGTCTCTCTTGAGCCTCCTTTACTCCAGGCTGAACACCCCCAGCTCTCTCAKCTGCTTCGCATAGGATTTCTGCTCCAGACCCTTCACCAGCTCCAGTGACCTTCTCTAGATATGCTCCAGCACCTCAATGTTCTTGTAGTGAGGGGCCCAGAAATGGATACAGGACTCAAGGTGCAGCCTCACCAAGTACAGGGGAGCAATCCTTTCCCTAGTCCTGCTGGCCACACTATTTCTRACACAAGCCAGGATGCCACTGGCCTTTTTGGCCACCTAGTCACATGCTGGCTCACATTCACTGCTTCTGTCCAGCAGCCCCAGGTCCTTTTCCAATGGGCAACTTTACAGCTGCTCTTTCCCAGTCCTGTAGCACTGCTCAGGGTTGTTGTGACCCAAGTGCACTTGACTTTGTTGAACTTAATAAAACTGACCTCAGCCCATGGATCCAGCCTATCCAGGTCCCTCTGCAAAGGTTTCCTACCCTTCAACAATGCTCCTGCCCAACTTGGTGGTGTCTGCAAACCGACTGAGGGTGGACTCAATCCCTTCATGCAGGTCATTGACAAAGACATTAAATAGGACTGGCCCCAATACTGAGCCTTGGGGAACACCACTGGTGATCTGATGCCAACTGGATATAACTCCATTTACCATCACTCTTTGGGCTCAGCCATCCAGTTTTCTACCCAGCAAACACTGCACCTGCCCAAGCGTTGAGCAGCCAGTTTCTCCAGGAGAATGCCGTGGGAAATAGCGTCAAAGACTTTACTAAGTCCAGGTAGAYTTCATCCACTAATACTATATCCCTCATCCACAGGGTCACTGTGTGACCCTGCCACAGAAGGAGATCAGGTTACTCAATTTGGACCTATCTTTCCTTGGGACTTCATTACTGCCCAGCAGAAATATCAGTAACGGATAATAATCYGAAGGCTGTACCCTCAGGGGTAGGAAGCTTTCTCTTCACATCTTTAACCTGGGTCCCAGGGAAATGCAGACTTCCCTACAAAATAGATCCAGTCTCCATATTGGGCCTTCTGTTCTGTTCAGAAAGGACTGTCCTAGGAAAATTACCCATTTTTCTTTACAAAAGCAGTTTTGACTCACTACGGTATACACAGCCTCACACCTGTATCTCCCCTTGCAGTATCTCTTTTGCAACCAGGATATCAGTAGTAACACTGGCAATTGTACCAAGCTATGTCTGCGAACAAAGGCTATGACATAAATTTCAGCCATCAAAAATGTTCAAGTATACCCCAAGTGGGTTTGGCCAGCTCAGGCAGCTTCTCAACAACTTGGTCCCAAATCAACACCACATATACCCTGCTAAAACTGCCAGTCTGCAGCATGGAGCTGCAGCTTCAGAAGCATTTAGCCTGGAGACAAATCTTTTCYTGCCCATGGGGCTCTTCCTCATAGTTCCATCAAAGCAGCAGTTTCATGATCCCTGTAGCACATGTTCTAGTCTTAGCAAGGTTAAGGCTGGTTTTCCCAATGGACTCACTTTGCTTTTGCCTGTTAGTTCTGTTGACTGTGGCACTAAGTGATACATAGTCTATCTCACCTTGAAAAGCAMAGGATAGCATGGTTAACTTAGCAGACCAGCCTGTCATGTGAAACAGACAACAGCGAGCAGTAAWGCACATCACACCCAAGCAACATCTGAGAAAATGCAAAGTGCCACAGATTCACAGATCAACAAGCAGAGTTCTACAATTTTCAGGCATTCTTATACCACAAGGCACCAACCCAATGACTCTGTTCTTGCTACATGTTTTAAAACTTCCTTCTTTAAGCTGGCCATGCACATGACTGTGATCAAAGCAAATTCTTTAAAGGGTTCCTGGTATCACCTCCAGCCAACAATGTGGAGTGTAAAAATAATGCCAGAGAAGAATTTCCAAATGTCAGTACCTCCTCTCCCTAACAAATGACTGACAGTTCAATTCTCCATCTGCTCCAGCACCAGGCTTTGCTTTGCTGCACCTAGCTGAATCCCTGCACCTCTGTCTGACATGAGTCTAGGGAGATCTCCACTCTGTTCTTGGAGGCTGTCCTATCTTTCCTCTCAGGTGAGTACTTAAGAAGGCCAGAAAGATTCTTGATACTTTACAGCCATTGCAGTTACCCCAGAAATGCCATTGGCTTGRTGCCTGTGCACACGGTAAGTGTTCAGAGAAGTAGATTAGTGCAATTCTCCTACCTTGATGTGTATAAGCTAGTGAGCAGGAGTGGGAATTGATGGGGTTAGAGTTACAAGCTACAGTCCCATAATCCATGATTTGATTGCTGCCTTGGAGTCTCTGTAATGACAGTTACAAGTCACCATACCAGAAAATATGGCAGGAAGTAGGAAAGGAAACTAAAGTGGAGCAAAATAAGAAAAGGAAACAGGCAAAGTAAGAAACCAGTAAAATCACCCAAGCATGTSTAAGGCAGCTGTGCCACACAGAAAAGCTCCAGTACCTGACYTCATCAGAGCTCTCCCAGCACAAAATGCCMAAGCCCAGCTGGCTGATCTGTTGRCCAAGGYATCCATCTTAGTGCAGAACACCAGATTCAGCCTACCTTCAGTCAGTGAAGCACCTGCAGATGGTTRTTAAATTTGAGAAGTACTCAGGTGAGCTCAGCCAGATGGAAGCCACATTTGGGGGTGTGGTGGGGTGTGCAACATGACTTCCTCAGAGCATATCTCTTTCAGGGAAAAGGAGATGCCTGTGACATTTTTGACTGACTGAGACCCATTATCTCAAACACATCCCTCTGGTTCTTGCTACTGTCAGTTCTGGAGGCTTTTAGGATAATAAAAATGACACCGGCACCATCTTTGTTCTGGTCACAATGCTCTTCCCAATCCAGCAGCAAGCTCTTACAATAGTATTTAGACTGAAAAATATTTATACTAAAAATGGCTTAGGCAAAAATGTACAATCCATCTGGTGTGAGAAATGTCTGAACAAAGAGAAGGGGTCTTACTACTAGAAGGCATCATCTTCACTGCCAAAAGACCTCAGGACCTTTCTTGGGCCTTCCACACATACATTATGAATTTAACTCACAGTGCCACCAGCATTGGAGAAAGGCAACATAATCTTCTGAATACAGCTGACACAAGCCAGCAGAGAACTGAGGTTTTCACACTTTGCTAGTCATGGCTGCTGAGGGTTTCCTTAATGTTGCGTAGACATCTCTGCTAACGACCTAAAAGAGGAGTCCAGAGCAGTACAGAAAATAGCCTTAAGAAACCAGTCCCCTCCCTTTCCCTGCAGAGAGGACTTCTGAGTGTATCCACTGCAATTAGTTCACCAGAGGCCTTCTCCCACCTGCAAACAGCTGCATTTATTGCACAACATGCCACAGGAATATCGCACCCCACCCAAGCTCTGGTGTACAAGTATGAACTAGCAGCCCTGTTGGCAGCATTATGCATAGTGTGAGCAGCCAGGTTGCTCAAGCCTTCATTTGGGCTTTGTCACCTTAGCTCTCTTCAACCACATACACTGAAYCCCACTTGGCAGCCTGATGGCAGCCGATGGAGTAAGAGCAAGTTAACCTGCCAGTCTAGAGGCCTAGAATAATAGTTACTCAGCTCTGAAAAAGAGCAAAGCACTGAAGGCCTTAAGACATTGTCAAGGGAGAGAAGTGAGCACAGCACTTCTCTGTATCTGGCCCTAGCTGGTATGAAGATGTGTGAAGACCTGCAGACCCCAAGAGGACCAGAGCCTAYGGATTCTGCATGACACTAACACTGAGCAAACTGCCCCAGCAGCTGGCAGTGCTGGGATTACATCCACCTGTCTGAAAATGCCAACAAGAAGCTTTGCACAAGCCATCCCCTTTCCTAGAAAAGAGAGAGGTTAGGTGTTGTTCTGAGTTTAGCAGGGGCAAAGCAGGGACTGAAGGGGGTTTACTCACTGTCTGTTCATTTTCCAAACTGGCCTGCTGCCTTCGGAGATCAGCCTTAATGAATGCTGGAACAGAGGGAAGAAGAGAGATGTGAAGGCACTTAAGTCATCATGCAATGCCCAAATCAATTTCCCCAGGACTCAAAGGAGCAGCAGAACCCCCAGAACAGACAGGAACACATTACACTGCTCAAGGRAAACCACTCTCCTGGATAAGGCTGAGAGCACATCTGAAACAGGCAGGATAGAGATTCTTTATTGCAGCATGTAGAAGGTACAACCAGAGACTCCAGACAGAGTCAGAGCAAAAAGCCTTGGCTCTTCTTTGTAACACAGACTAGATGCTTARAAAAGAACAGCATTGCTATGGGACTGCTGTGTGGGTTCTGTCCACAAAAGCCCTTCAATTAATACGCCAAGCCCAAGGCAAAGTCAGAGCAGAATACTGAAAATTTTAATTACCTGTCATAATGGCCCCCAGGAAGAGGAAGGAACAAAGCAAGAGGTTTCCTGCCTTTGTCCCAAAGTGCTCGATGATTTGCCCTTGGCCAATGGTGAAGGCAATACCAAAAATCTACAAACAAACAAAGGTAACATCAGGCTGTACTGTTATTATAAAGCAGCCCAAACAGTTTCCTATCTTTACCAAAGCATCAGAGCATACAGGCCAGTCAAACAGTTGGCCTAGTGGGGTTAAAGTTTGGTTATAAACACATCCAGAGGCACCTCCCTGCAGATGATGGGACAACAGATGACCCTGAAGGCTGTAATCTTATCTCTCACTGGAGATGAGCCAGGTCCTAGACTGTTAGGATCTATGTTGGAAAAGGCTAGGATGACTGGCATCCTGATGTATTTTCTCAAACAGGAACAACTAGAGAAATGCCACGAGGAACATCATTCAAAAAGCCAGGTTTGGGGTGCTTYGATCTGCAGTTCATTACACCAATAATGGACAAGAAATAGGACTCAAGGCTTGAAACTACAATTTAATCTGTTTGCCTAAAAAGAGGAAAGTTAAGGGAAAATAGCACACCTACCTGTGCTGAGACATTAAGGAGCCCTGAYGATGTTCCTTCCGATTCTGGGTATGTCAGCTCTGCAGCAAACTCAAAGCCCAGGGGAAGGTATCCTGTCATGAAAAACCTGTAAAGAAGTACACAGAAAGGAAAACTCGGCAACTGCCAGAAGGAAGACTGAAAATGCMTAGTATAGACCATAATTCTAAGGGCATCACTCCCAACACAAACAGCCACTCCAGCCCATATTTTTCACTCTTCTCCACTGATCATCTGTGGGACTGTGGGTACCATTTGCTTTCCAAATGCTTCCACCTGATTACCTGGAACAACTAAGGCAGCTACASATAAGCAGGGTTATGATAATGTCCCTGACTCTAATGAAGCACGTAAAAATGGGAGATGAGAAGGGCAGGTAATTTTAATTTTGTCCTTAAACCATGCAGAAGCCATACAGATGCTAGGGCTCTCCACAATCCCTCCCACAGCAGGAGTTCTGCCTCCTTGCTCATCACCTAGCAGTTCACACGTGGAGGAAAGCAGCTTGCATATGAACTTACCCCAGCGAGCCAGCAGTCACAAAGACCACCCAGAGGTGGCCCAGGCTCAGAGTGAAGGTATAGACTATCATTCCCACCAGAGACATGATATAGACAACTAGTGTTGTCTGCCTGCAAGAAAAAACAAACAGGGTTTTGTTTAATCCAGTCAGGGTTCTACTTAATCTTGTCCTCCTTTTTATGCACAAATCTTGGTATAGCTTGTAGCATATGGGTAAAAAAAAAWTTWAAATTTGCACAGCTCTCTTGACACTCAATATCCAGACAGAGGAACTGGACTGAGAGAGAGCACAGAAGGACCTGCACACAAAGCAGGGCAGCAGAAGAAGAAAGATGTACCACAGGCTGACAGATGCCTGGTCATATACAGTACATACCACTTGAGAAGGAGAATAAGAGCCAAATAAAGAGATCACTGGGCATCCTCTGTTTGATAATTTATTTGAACATGCTTACTTAGAAGCAGGGGCCAAGGAGATCAAGCAGTCTCAAGCAGGAACATAAAGGAAAAAGGTTTCAGCACTACTAGAGTCTTATGGGCTGATATTTTTCAGTGCTGTCTGAAACAGCTTTCATTGCTGCTCCTTTCTGTTGTTTAAACTGSCTGCTGTATTTGGAGAGGTGACGTGCAAGCCAGGTTGCCTTCACAGCCTCATCCTCAAGCCATGTGAGCATTTAGCAGCCAACAGCAGCTGAGCCACAAACTCTTGTCTCTGTGCAGAGGAGACAAAGACACCCCRTGCTCAGGAAGCATGCCAGGCAATTCCTGGGCACAGCCAAATCTGCAGCCAGGCCACGCAAGGATCATCAGTGGACTGCGAGACACATGCAGCAGCCTAGGCCAGATTTTACCGCAACATTTAGCAATTATCATCCTTGACTAGACACCAAAAAACCCACATTAAAAAACAAAACAAAACAAAACAAAACAAGGCTCTTTCTAGTACAAGAGGCAGCAGTAGGTCTTCACAGCATATAGTTTTTAGGAGGGAAAGGAGGTCAAGAAGGGAAAGGTAAATATTTTATTTGACTGAAATTCCACCAGGATTTAGAAAGCAGAACAGTTACCAGAGTTGATAAAACCTTTTGATCATTGTCTTTTAAATGCATTACCACAAGCTACTTGTTTACTTTCTCCCAAATTTAAATCTTAATGTGTTTAATATCATTAAAGAATGTGTTTGATATCAGTTCCTAGAATTCTACTGAAGAAAYTAAAACTCAAACTATTTTCACTTTTCCTTTTTAATGCAAATGACCACTGTCAAAAATCCAACCCCAAGCAGGCAGTCAGTATTACAATGTGTAAGAAAATGTTTTCAGTACATTGAATCACTACAGACAGAGACTGTCCTCCCTCACTGCTGCAATGACTACAGTCAGWGGGGCTCATGTTCATTTATCAATTCTTATCCAAATAACAGGCCTGAGAAGCTAATTTCAGGCTTCAGCTATTGATCCATACTTACGAGGTTCACCAGGAACATTTAATATATTGAAAGGCTAAACAGCATTTTGCTGTGGCAAGTAATTTTGTTGTGTATCAAAAGAGTAGTTAAATCCCTTAACCTCCAATGCTGTATCATTTCTATARTATGTTCTTTCCAATGTTTTCACAGTGGAAAAAATTAATCGGTGAAGGCAGYATAAAGGGACTGCTTATTTCTATTATAACCCATTGCAGAGAGCTGCTATATGGCTGGCACAGAGCCTGGAGGCTGCAGAAGGAGAAGAGCTGAAAGACTGAGAGAGCAGCCCCAGAAAGTGAAAGAGTTGCAAGTAAAGGCCTTTCACCGCTCAATACAGGTTCCTCAAGTATCTCCACGAGCTCTTATGCCTCCCATGCCTTGACAATCATGGAGGAAAGAGATGATTAGGAAAGGAGCTCAAAGCTGTTATTGCAGTTCTGCACTTGGGCTACAGGAACCAAGTTTGAACTGGGTGCTYCTTCCATAAACAGGAGTCTCCAAACTACATAGCAATCAGTGCCAAAATACTGTGAGGGCCTCCAAGTGGTGGCTTACAGCCCTTGGAAGTTTAGTCACTGCCAGCAAGGACACTCGGCCCTTGGCGGGGTTTATATTTTTTCTCACCAGAGCCAGTTTTGGGCTCCATACAGAGGTCCCAGGATAATSACACAAAATCTCACTCATTTTTCTGGGCTTATTCTGGCTTATTCTCCAGTATTCCAACTGATTTGTGTCTTACTCAGTGTCATGACAGTTGCCAAGTGTTGCACTTTGCCCCTCGTCTCCARGGAAAGGCGATGAATGAAATAGTGACCAGATGTGGTTAGGACTTTGTTTCACATTGATGCTGTATCTTTAGTCAAGCTGCAAGAGAAATACCCAGAACACGCTGTGGCCCACTGAGAAGTAGAGCAGACTCGTAGCTGCAGGCTGCTCTTGAAGGTGATCTTCATTGAAACTGAAGAACTACATAGAGGACAAAATGGAGAAAACTGATCTTGCCATGCGTACCTCATCTAGCAGGTTTTCCTCACTGCCCTCCCTGAATCGTTATGCCGCAGAAGGACAAAATGAATCAACAGACCTTTGTGAAAGAACAAGACCAGGGGTTTGAGTGCTGTGGGAATTGCAGACCAGGAAGCATCCTGAAGCCATGAACTGCTGCCTGCTCACCAGAGYCCCTCACAGGATCTGAACAGACAGCCCTGAATGCAAATCTTGCTGCAGGAACTACCTTAAGCATACAAGCAGACTTCTCCTAAACTGGACTTTAGCAAAACCATGCTCCCCCAAGCATACCACTCACGACAAGAAAAGGAGATTTAGTGCTCAGCAATCCAAGAAAGACTCAAAATTTTGAAGAGGGTTTACCTGAGATACTGGTAGACACTGGTGCATAGGGAAACAAAGAAATGCCTGGGGAAAGACACCATAGCAGGGTGTTCTCAGGAAGTGGCCTTTGACACCCTGTTCACYAGAGAACAAGAATGTTCTGTGGCCCTAGGGGCACCAGGGCATGGAAAAATGCCCGGTTTTAGCTTAATAAGCCTCTTATCATAGCCATAAATCTCATGGGAGTGAGAAAAGCACAAAGTAGAAGCAGATTCACAGAGGACATCAGCACTGCATTCTGGTGTTTTTAGCAACYTGCTCTCCATGATGGCTCTACAGGRACTGACAATTTTCATTGTCTGGGACAGAGTCTATCTACCTAACAAGCTGATTAGTGCAGTGAGCACAGGCTGGAARTTAGGCATCCTGCCACATCACCTTAGGAAAACTGGGATTAACCCAACCCTGTACTCTGGGGTGTAGAAAGGAAGCGCAGTGCACCCATGTGGAAGCATCGCTACAAAGGCACCAGTGCCAAGTCTCTGTGGCAGAGCCAGAGGGAGATCTGTGAAGGACCCGACATACTTGTCACTTAGATGAACCTAACCTGCCCTGACATTCATCTGCCCTCCCAGTCACATTCCCTAACCTTCTGAAGAGGCAGATTAAAGAGCTCACACATGGGACTGTGAGAAAAAAAAGAGACCTTGGGGGAAAAAAGTCAGACAGGGCCAGCACCAGCAGGGAACAGGGCTGAAATGAAGAACACAACTCCTGCTGTTCAGTCAACTCCAGAAGATGCCTCAGAGTAAGGAATGGGTATGGCCCAGCCCCACCTTGTCTGACAAGTTCACTTGGAGAGGAAAGCARAAGTGACAAGACAAGACTCAGAGGGGACTGCAGCTGCAAAAACACTAGAGTCAAGCAACATCTGAAGCAACAAATGAACAAGCCAGGGGCAGGATGGGGGGACAGCCACGTACAACAGTTTTAGCTGCTCACAGGGATGTTGTGTGCAGCTCCAGGATGCTCTGCTGTACAGATCAGCATGACAGATGGCCTCCACGGGCTTTGCCACGAGGACGGCACACTCCAGGCTGCACATGACCCTGAATAAAGGCCTYGCTCCTATGCTCCCAGAAGCATCTCATTGATGAAGGCATGGAGGTGTCAGATGCTGGAGAAAGGGATGAATTGGGGAAGACTGCTCTGATTTTCATCACACCCTCATCCTTTGGCATTCAGTTTTATGYCACTTTCTTCCTGTATGATGGTCAGAAGGACAGCCTTGGAAAATTATTTATATAAGATATATGGCAGGACAGGGTGAAGACATATCCACTACACAAGGACTAACCTGGAAAAGGGCTACAACAAAAAGGCCCACATTGCAGGTCAGGCTAGGCTGAGAGAGCACTCACATTCCAGTGGGAAAGACCCAAGTACCCCATTCTCCATTACCCAAGTTTTTCCTCCCTCCCCCAGATTWTAATGCACTTTGAATCTGTACAGACCTAAAACACTACTTGGGGTCCTCTGCCTAGCCAGTGGAGAGAAATGGATATTTCTGATATCTTGCCTTGTAGAGATGCAGCAATGAACACAGAGCTGACTGCAACCAGCTAGATTTGAGGCCATGTGAACACTGCACTTARAAGAAAAGCATGGCCAAAGAGAAGTGATAATTGATTCAGTCCTCAAACACCTCATTCTGAGCCAGACTCCCATACAAATACCAATACACCCAGCAGTCTCCACATGTCCTCTGAGCCCCATATGTCCTCTGAGCCAGGAACCTGAAGGATGAACATGGAGCCCCACTGAATYTGATGTCAAAACTTTAAAGATCTTCTCCTGATTCTATGATTCAAAGAAGTGGGCTGTTCTCAAYAAGCCATACACCAGAGACAACTCCAGTTCAAGGCACTGCTCGCTTGTCACTACATAACTCATATTTATAACTAYGTATTTATTTGTGTGGACCAAATTTGCACCTGCTATTCCAAAAACAAGAACAGTGCAGGGGCTGGTGCAGGGACTTGCCTGCCAAATAAAAGCAAGAGTGCAAGGCTATTTGGTGCCTGAGCATGACAGATGGGGAAAGCCTGACTTAGCACAGCCTCACCMTTTCAAGGAACTGCTGATGGTACAGTAAAGATCAAACATGCATGTAGAGCTCTGCAATTCCTTCTGTTATTAACCTTCCCCTGGTCCCCTCAATCACAGCTGGGTCCCATTCATTTGCTTCCCTCTCTCTCCAAGCTGACTAAAAAAAGGAGTTGATATCTTTCCTTCCTGATTTTCATGTGCTTACCATTTTATTCTTGACACTATCTCAGCAACAGAAGGGGGAGGGTACCCACCTAGAACATCTGGCATCTTGACAGTTTTTTTGAATAGACGTAAATGGGGCTAAATAAAGACTATGTAGCACTCAGAAAAAAATGTGCTAGTTTCACAGAAATCCATTTTGTAGGCTGTAATAGAGAACAAATTCTTAGCAGGGTTTTTCCTGACCTAAGGCTAAAACTATCCCCCAACAATCCCTGGGGTCTGTAGGACAAATTCCATGGATGGCATAGTCCTATTTTTCTGCACTGTTAGCCAGCTCTGCCTACCTACGTGGTTTCTCCAGGGAAGGAAGGGACATGAAACAAATACAGGATTTGTGATTTTTTTCTCTCTCTCCCATACTACCGAATTTCAAGTCCCAGCTCTGCACAGTGAGTCACAAAGCTCTTCCAGCCTTCATGTTGCAACCTAACCTCACCTACRGAGAACGAGGAAGATCATCCAGTCTAGCAGTGGCAGCTGAGGCTACCTTACCACTAGCCCTGGGCTGGAAAGAGACACAAGTCACATTGCATGGTTAGCTAGTGCAGTTCTAACAGTTGGGTTTCTATTTCCCAGGACTCCCATACGAGAACTATTCAGTGCCACACAACCATCTAGACACAGCAACAAAAAACCTGCCAGTCTCTGTATTAGTCACTTGGCTCCTCTTTCCCAGCACCCAGGAGTCCTCACTTACCATTCTTTCTTATTAGAGAAGCCAATTTTCTATTTCTGATCCCTGTACTTTACAGCTAGGGCCAGAGGCCACTTCAAAAGTTGCAAGCTCACAGCTAGCCAGATTAATTTAAGCAGTCTACAGGTAGGATAATGGCAGTAGGACTCCCTCCCATGAAAAGCTGCTGCAAGGAAAACAACTCTGCAATTTGCTTTCAAATCATCACCATCACATCAGCAGTAAAGCCCCCTCTCACCCAACCTGCTCAGACAACAGTTCTCAAAGACAGCAGAGAAACTAGTAAGTCGATTACATGGACCCCAGWATAAGACACAAGAGATTTCTCCATTCCCTGGGATATTGTACAGAGGTGTTTCAGTGAGATTCGAGTTCCTGAGGACTGAGAGCTGCAGGACAAGCAAAGACTCTTAACTGCCTGTTTGCAGATGGCAAGGTATGCTGGCCAGATCTGCCTTCCCAACTCACTGGGCAACAAATAMAGAATCATCCACCCATAACCCCAGTAACCCTTATGCCTGCTCTAAATACAGCAACACGCCATCCACACAATGCCTCTGGGCACTAGATTCAATGTGCCTTTCATTAAGCTGGACAAAAATTCACAGAGGCTGGTTTGTAAGGGCTGAGAAATGGTCTGATACAGTCTTGATTCTGCTTGTGCCAAGAACTCTCTCATCCCTGACAAAGCAGTTACTGGGTCATCTCATCTTCTCTCTAAGCCTCCCTAGGCACCAGTGACACCAGACCTTGTACRGGCCCTGTGCAGGCTAATGCACAGATCTGGCTTCGCTTTAGCCTAACTGGATTTTGAAGAACCRTATTTTTTCTTTACAAATCCTCCCAATGATTAAGTGTCCAGACTGCCAACTTGCAACTGCACAGGGGTGCTCCTTGCACAGTATAAGGAAAGAAGAGCACAGTCACCAGGACTCAGAGGCAAACAAGGGACTTACTTGTAGGTTTTGGTTCTGTCCAACCAGATGCCGGAGATCAGAGCCCCAGCCATCCCCGACAGTACAATGGTGAGTCCAATCCTGCCAGCATTCACCTCCTCCCCCTGTGGTGAGACACATACACACTCACACAAATGCAGGAGCTAAGTCATATCCAACAAAAAGCAAAGTCCAGAGAGGAAGAGACACCAAAGTTAGTCTCATACATGTTTTCTGTTGTAACATACTAACCAGAACTAGCTTTTGSGAGAACACTTTTGGGCCCACAATGAGCCAGTGCTTTCTGGTCCATGAGAAAAAGCGGTCTGGCAATTGTCTCTAAGCCAGCCCTGAGAAAAATGTGTGCACAGATGTGAACAGATACTCTCAGAGGAGTTAGCATGTACTCTATGAGGCTTGCTGACTGGTGTTAGGATTTGAGCCAGACTGACAAGCAAGTATTGGGACTCACTATAAGGCAGCACAGAAAGGAGCTCTGTGGCATGCAGCACCAGCAGTAAGCTGTACAATGGCTCAGGTACTGAGGCACCCCACCCTTYTGCCACCAGAGCACAAGCATGGGCAGCCTCCTGGAACAGATGTCCCAGTAGAAATCACAGTCAGGAACAAGAAGAGGAAAATGCTGGAAACTATTCTTGGAAGTAAATGCTTTCATTTAAGGTGCAAAGGAGCTATCTTTTCTAGAACTCACCAGCTTTTGTATGGGATAGTGCAAAGAAAAAAAGGAACAGCCAAGTYGTGCTAGAGGCAGACAGGAGTGCTGTGACATTGCCTTTCTCAAAGACTCTCCTTTGGTAGCCAGTGCTGGACAGCAGCAAGCATCAGAGGGCCAGGAGGGTTGGATGCACTTACTGGGTAGTGAYGGATCACCATGCGGTTCAGCAGAGTGGACAAGGCGTAGAAACAACCTACATTCAGACCTGAGAAGGGGATAAAAATGCAGCATATTCAGAGCCTGCTACTGTCCTGATGGGTTGTGAAAGGGTAGAAATGCAGAGAGAGAAATCTTTGGGACCATCGGTCCAGAACAAGGACCTTGTTCTTGCAGAACAAGGCTGCAGAGTCTAAGGAGAGTGAGCCAAACTGGCTAGACATAGGTTACTGAAAGAAATGGAGACCAACATCCAGGCCTCAGTATGCAGGAGGAAGCACSCTGCAGCTTCAGGATGGTTCTTACCTAAGCAACTAGAGGAAGGGCTGTGCACATTTCTGGTACTGAAAAATCTTGCAACTCCTTCACAGGGTCTCGATCCTCTCTCACAGCTAGATCCATCTTTAGCACTGCAATTTTCTCCTCCACCCCCAGGCAAGCCAGAATACTAGAAAATTACCTGCCTCAGCATCACACCTTGAACAAGGACTTGGGGTTCAATTAACAACAGTGTCATTGACCTGTGTGTTTTCCTCCCAGAGGAGAGCCTGACAAGCATTCTCCCTGCTGACAGCCAGTAAATAACATTGTCTGCAAGCCAAGAAACGCCAGAAGACAAGTAGGAGCAAAGCTGATAGGTGAAGCACAGACAGCACTGCCCTCAGGCATCTGAGGTGCTTGTCTGTACGGGAAAAGTCTTGCATTTTAAAAGATATCACTGAGGCCTGAAAAAACCCCGTGAAAGTAATTGTATTTCTGAAAGAGAAGTTATATTAACTGTTACAAGCATCAACCACCTGGTGAAGGTTTCTCAGTATCACCCAAGGTGAGAATGAAACTGTTGGGGTGATACTGGTCAAGCCCTATTCAGACATTCTGCTTCATCTTRCATGCAACTCTCATTGGTTAAATGCCTTCTCAAAAGGGAAGAAAACCTGACAGCTTTGCTTACAGCAGACAAGAACATACACATGTGCACTGGACCAKCAGTACTGCAACGGTTACACTCTCACCTTGGGTGATACTGCAAAACCTTCCCCAGGTGAATGAGGTCTGTAACAGTCAGCACTACTTTCTTCTCAGAAAGTCATTTACATTGGCAGTTAGTTTATCTTCAAGGCTTCAGTGATCCTGACGGGTGGAGGGAACGGGACAGATTTCACCACTGCAGTTCACACATCTATAGACTCCACAAGGAGCCATGTGTTTAAAAAGTCTGGCACAGATGCCTGAAATCTTGACAAAACAGATACATGTCAAGTTCCCACTTCCTACTTTTCCTCTTTAAGCCTCAGCTAAAAGCAGAAACTCACAATACAGAATAAAGAAGTGCAGTGTAGCAGACAGAGCTTTGACAGAGGGAACAAACCCCTGAACTCTCCTAACCCTSAAGACCCCAGCTCCCCTGATCCTTAAGTACTTAGCAACCTTACACCTAGCCCAAGCTAGTGTCCACTGAACACTGGATACCTGTCGGAGTACACAGCACTATAAGGAGCCACAAGATTGGCAGCTGGAGGGTGCACCACACTTCCTTCAAACACCAGCTCCGACAACATTACAATTTACTGTGAGGGTGGTGAGGCTCTGCAATAGGTTGCCCAAAGGTGTAGATGGAAGCGTTCAAGGCCAGGCTGGGTTGGGCTAAGTGACCAGGTCTAGTGGAAGGTGTCCCTGTGTGTGGCATGCAAGTTAGAACTAGATGATCTTTAAGATCCCTTCTAACCCAAACCATTCTATGATTAAGCAAATTTCACTCCACAGCCATATGATACAGACAACAGATGAAGACTGTTATGCAAGTGATCCCAAATATTGCCTGTGACAATGCTTCCTGCTCCAAAAACATGTTTCAGAAGCTAACAGGGGACACTAGTAAGTTGAGTCGCGTCCTCTTTAGGCAGGACAATCTACCCAACCCTTACCAAGAGCTACTCAGGAAGGCTGGAAACTCCCGCAGGGCCAGCAGCCAGAGATGAGGGAGCACAACTGGAGGTCTCACAGGAAGGAGGTGTCCTCCAGCCCTGAAAGCTGTCTCTTTGCAACACTTGGCTATGGCAAAACAGCTAACAGACCCTAATTCAGCTTCATCCTATCTCCATCTCTGGAGCACCTCACTCACTAGGTGACACCACAAGCTGCAGTGCCAGGACACGGGAGTATGGTAGATCAATACAGTCCTTCTGCTTCTTCACTTCAAAGCTGGGCATAAACATTAAACACTCATTTGTGCACCTCTGTTTCTCACCCAGCCAAGAGGACAGCAGCCTTGTAAAGACAGCCAGATGCTGCTCTGGTACCTGATGCTCTCAGTAAACCAGCTTTACAGCATCTCTGTGAAGCATGCAATTTCCAAGACAGAGAAGGGCCTCTGCTCCCAAGTTGGGCAGAAAGTAAGAGTTGGCAGCGACACTTGGCACCAGAGTCAGGCAAAACATTCGAAGAATCAAGACAATGTGTCACATTTGCATATGTGAGGGCTGAGAAAAGTTGTAGGCACTTTATATGTCACAGTTGCTCGGTGAAGCTTCTGTGAGAATTACAGCTGTTTGAATGTCCATAAAACTGTAATGGTTGTTCCCAACAGGAAAGTGGCCATTTGCCCACTCAGATGAGGGAAATCAGAACCAGTAGCTGAAAGCAGGACATCTGAAGGTCCAGCACCACCTGGTTCTTTAGCTACTTACCCTRATTTGCTTGTAATGTAGAATAACATTTTTGATACCTCAGTATCTCCTCTGTTTTATAGAGGCCACAATAGGGAAGTATTGCATACACCTACAAAAGGAGCCCTTATCAGGCCTCAGACTATAACCCAGGTCTCCCACAGGTAGGCAGCCTATTACCTACATGCCAGACTCTTAGTTTCTCCCTTGTTCACCTTTGTAATCCTCCCCAATGGTTCCTTAGGCAGATCTCACTTCCCTGCATCCTCCTCACTGCTCCACCTCCTCCTTACTGCCCCATCACCATTAAATGTCGATTCTTTAAGACCATCTTATCACTCCCATTTTATCAACCTTTCCCAGAATTTCCCATCCTTTTCCTGCCTACTGCCTCCCACTAGCAACTCTCCAATGCAGAGCYCAATCCCACAGACTTGGAATTCCGTAATGTCCATTTCCTGTTATGCCTTAGCTTTATGGAAGCAGTGTCATCAGCCTTGGGGAAAAGGTTCTCTGAGGGCTTTCCTGAAAAACAGTTCACTAGCACTGACATAGGAGCAGTGCCACCACTGTTTCCAGCACTRCAAGTCTTGCCACAAGAAAGGAACCATTGGCAGCTGGTAATACCAAGACCCTAGAGGTCTGCAGATCTGTTCTGACCTGGCATTGTGGAAGGATCCCCATTCTTTCTACAGCCAGGAGAGATGAACAAGCAGCAGATATGCCCCTCTCTTTCYTGACATGTTATGCTAACACAAAAGCTGACAGGCTGCAGATATCTTTGTGTTAGCTAGGCAGGATGACTCAGTTGCACTCATGGGGCTCCAGATGTCTTAAATCTTGGCCAACGTAACTTTTGACTTGACTAGGAAAAACTGTCCCCGTTTTAAACCCAGCCAAGTTTAAAAAGAAGAAGTTGCACTGCATAGTTCCCTCTCTGAGTAACAGTCACCATCTCAAATCAAGCTGAAGATTGTCATGAGGCTGACACAGAGAGGAGCAAAATAAATGCACAGATCAGCAGCAAGAGAAAATGAATTATGAGCCACTGAACGGATTTTCCACACTGTTTGTGACTGCCAGAAGAGAATTATCCCAGGAAGGTCAGATTCTAAACATGCTGTTTGTACTGAGAGCCCTTGTCTCTCCTCTAGGACTTGTTTAAGCCTATTAGAGTGAATGCTTTTCTCTTTCTTTTTCCTGAAGGGCAAGTGTGAACTGAGATGATACAATCCAACTTTAGACACAGTCTGCCTGACAGATTTTTTTGTCTTCACTTTCTGAGAAGGCATTATAAAGTATGGAAAAAAAAAAGGCAAATCCAGCAGCTGCAATGCAAACCAGCAGAGTTTAAGGGCAATCGGAGACRGGCATTCTAGAAGTCTACTGCACTGAGAAGGAAGGGAGTAGAGATTCCAACAACTCCAAAGACCATTAGCATCCTCAGTAGGTACAAAGTCACCATCTCACTCTCTCCAACCTGCCTCCACATCCACAAGGTCTTTCAGAAACATWTGCTGGCAGAATGCACAGAACTTTCAGCAATATTAAACTGTCCCCATGAGAAGCTTCCATAGCAAGCTGATAGAAAGAGTGAGGACAAAACTACCCACAGACTAGGTGTCATTACAGTATAGCCTATTATGTAGCCAGGCACAGACCACAATGGTCTTTCTGCTAACAAGAAAAACACTTTTTCATACGCCAATTTAGCATCAGGGAATAGATTCAATACACCACACTGCCCTCAAAGAAACAGACTAAGACTGCTGAACAGAAGCAAGCAGCAAATTCAGCGTGCAAGGACAGATGGCATAAGAAGATGTTGTCCAGTCCTTCCTTCCAGTTGCTTCACAGGAACTGCCTAGGAAGCTGATAAAGTCTGCACATCTGCATACTCCACATGACCTCTACTGAGGTCATGTCTGGCAGTCATATCCTTGCCTAGGGAAATGACTTTCACTCAGTGCTGTGACTTGCACTCAGACACTTCTACATATTTCTTAGGTAWGCACTTAGATTGGTTTGCTGCAAGTAACTAAACAACTAGAATAAAAGAATAAAAGAATAGATAAGGAAATCCCCTGAACAGCAAGTAGTCAAAGACTGRGAGAACAGTTGTAGGGGCATATCATCCTCTGTGTGCTCGCCWTTTTTCATTCCTCCCCCCTGCATTTGTTCATAAATGCTGCTGAGGAGTGCTGGGCTACAAAGACTCCTGGTCTGTGGCAGCAAAGGGGAGCTATCCTTATGCTCCCCTAAAACAACTCAAGCCAGCTACTGCCCCAGCAGAGCACAGAGAGGCAGGAGAAGCAGTGATAACTGCACAAGAAAAAAGGCCAGACCTTACCATAAGTGACCATAAGCAGCAAAAAGTTGGCATTGCAGAGCAGATTGAGGATCGACTGCATGTAGGAATACTCCACMGTCAGTCTTGACTGGATCGAGGCCTGAGCTCGGCTTGGAGGGTTCGGGGGTTTCTCCTTGAAAACTGAAACCAGACACAAAGTACATCTGTTTGTAATGGTGCAATTGAAGGGCCTGAGCACACACTGAGCCATTTGATGGACAGCAGAGGGGCTAGTAGAACCAAGTATATAAAACACCATTGTCCTTAAGCTTTGATCTCCATGCATGAACTTATCAAGGAAGAGGAAAGAACAGCTCTATTCCAACAGCAATTCCTGCCACCTTGGCAAGGGAAATACCTTGCCTTCAATTAGCTTTTTGTGTAGGCAGTGTCCAGCAGCAAAAAAAGAGTTCTCAGGACTATTATTGCCTTTGTCTCTAGAAGGATGACCAGCCAAATGCATGTTATGTGGATTTACAAATGACAAAGCAGAATGGAACAAGTCAGTTGACAAAGGTGGCCTAGTGCTCTGCAGGGGCYATTGCCCAGGGAAGAATAATCTATGCCAGGTTTTATTTCAGGCCAAGCCATCTGCTGCTCCTTAATAGCATTGAGGTAGCATCCAGAAATCCCAGCCACAGCCAATACTGCTGTGCCAGGTCACAGACAGTCTTTTTAGTACCTTGTCTATTCCCTGCCCCACATTCTTTGAAGTCTACATCTGAGTCAGCCACCAGCAACATGAACAAACTGGCAAGAGGAGCCTAACAAAAAAATTGCATGGAATTCAGAAAATAAACTGTGTTCTCCAATGAGAATTCCAGCCTTTCATGCTAAAGATCTGGCATCTACTTCATGTTTTAGGCAGAGGAATTGCACCTCTAGTGTCCTGCTATTGTCYTTAATGCTTTATTCTGTCCACTCATAACTGGGAACAGCTTGTTCCTGTGATGCCATATAATCTGTCTCTTTCTCTCTTCTCTTTAAGGGCAGTCAGGTCCTAGACATAACCCAAGGCCCAGAACTCTGTTTGCAGGGAAGGTGACTACAAAACTTGCAAGATTTCTGTTGTTTTTTAAAGGACTTACTCATGCCTGGATTTTATTGTGCAGGCAATAGACCAAATTAACAATTTGGCAGGCTCACTCACAACATCTTATACACCCTTCTACATGTGCTGCTCATCAAGTGTTTGAAGCAGCAAGATATGGTATTGCATGACCCTGTCRGCTGCATGCTAGGACACATCCCCAGATGACCTACCCAGCCCAGTTCCTGGCACAGAAACCTCCTCTCACACATCAGCTGATCTTCTTAGTCCCATCTGGTTTCATGTGCACACTTCCACCTCCTTACCTATGATGACCAGGATGAACAGGGCTGATGCCACACCTGCAGTCATGAAGAACATGATGCTGATGTGGTAGGCCAGCTTGTCCACATCCTCCACATTAGGAATCAGAACTGGAGGGAGCAGGAAGCCCACAGCAATCCCAAGCTGAGCAGGAGAGAGGAGATAAACAGAGGCACAACATGAAACCACAACGTTGCCACTACCCTACAGRTCTCAAATGAGCCTAATCCAATCTCAAAGCCAATATGAAAATCTTCTTTACCACCCAAAAATTAGGAGATAAAAGCCAGATACCCATTGCAATTAGGCCACAAGAGAGGCTTGCCCATTGCATTTACTACTGTCAGGCTATTCAAGGCAAGGTTTTACAACAGAATTGAGCAGAATGAATACTTGGCTCCATCAAAGTGGAGGTTTTGCCTGCCCTGASCTCCTCCACAAATGTACGTTCCTGTCCACACACACATCCCATTCCTTACCTTGTCCTTGCTCTAGCACRGGCCTGATCAACATGTAATCCAGTCTTGCCCATTAAAAATGGCAGAAAACAAGACTATCAAAACTAACCACAGTATTTGCTGGGTTAATGAGTTGAACAAATCTATTTTCCAACCAGGTAAGTGCGAGGGCCGAGATAGAAACCTGACCACCCCAAGTAAGTGAGATATGAATCTGGCTCAGCCAATTTTGACACAGTTTCAAATAAGCAGCCTCCTGAGACAAGGCTCACCCTATGACCACCAGGAGAACCTAGAAGAACATCACAGTTGAAAACAAAGAAATGTTGATGGCAAGTATCCTAGATGTCAAGGTTGTTTTTGTGATGTGGCTTGGCAACTGTCCCTGGATAAACAGCTCTGAAGAGTAGAGAAAGCAAGGATTAATGAAGACAAGTACTGTGCAGCCCATAAACCTTATGGAAGCACATCAGCACACAGAGCAGAAGATGCAAGAGCCCTGTAACCCAAGCACAAGCTCAGACATGTTTCCCAGGCTGCCTTTTAGCAAAACCTCTTTGGGCTTTTTGCATGCTTTCTCTGACATGTCTCCATGTTTCCGGAGTGCTGATAGACTCATTATGGAAGATTCACTCACTGGCCAAGACAAAGATCTCAGAATAAATATATTTCAGTAGCCATATCTGGTAGTTAGGATGAAAAATAGCTTGTGTCCTCYAGCCCCAGAAAACTCCACAAAAACCCTACTCCTCCATCCAACTGGTAGATTTTTGAGACAGGAAGAATTTTTATGATTCAAACAGAGCTATCTGCTACCCTCAGGCAGATACCCTATGTAGCTTACAAACAACTGACTTTCAACCATGTCTGGCCAAATTTCTCTTGTGTCAAACAGTGCCCTTCACTGGRACCTAGAATAACCTGGGTCAGGAACAGCAGTAGATATCTGTGCTAAATTCATTCCTGGTGCTGGGACATTGCAGAGAGCCAGTGGGACAAGCCACCAAGAGATTACAGATGTGCCCTACCAGTTCAAGGTTCTGTCAGGAATATGAACATTTGAGGTTTGGTTACATAGACTGAAGGTACATCAAAGTTGTGCCATCCCAGATAGCAAGTCAGGGACTGAAAAAGTTTACAAGGAAACTTAAAAGACCATTAGGAAGGATAAACTGCCCTGACACCCACATGGCATAGACAGGCTCTGACACAGGACTAAACTTGCCAGAGCTCAGTTTTGTTCAGACATGGCCTATCCCCAGCCTCCATCACAGCAAGTCAGGCTGGCTCTCCTCCTCTGCACTGCCTAGCAAAACTATCACTTAGTTTAGAGGCTTCAAGATTTAATCTCCATCAAATTGCATGCCTCCCCCTTCCCAGCACAAGCCTGAAGCTGCACAAGAAAGGTAATGGCATCAAACACAGAAGCTCACAGAGATTGCTRGTAGAGGGCAGAAGCCTGCTTGCCTCTGCAGCACATTTATTTTGCCCTCCTTGGGGCCTGTGCAGACCTGGTGTGCCTGGTCGGCCCAGGACACAGCCACCCTGGGCTTCCCTTCTATCTCCAGAGCATTCCTAAAGATTTAACCTTTGAGGAAGAGACTCTCAACATTGCTCCTTTCCATTCAAGGGAAAAGTCCTACTGACTCTTATATATCAGGTCTCCCATGTGCCCTCCACCCTTTCCCAACTAAGGTTTACAAAGATCTTTCTGGAAACGGACTCTTTGTCTTACCACTGTTTCATTCTTGGAAGAACTAGGCTGGATTCCTGTGCTAGGTACTTCTTGGCTTCCTTCTCTCTGCAATCACATGCTAGCCACATGAGCTGCTGAACAGCAGCAAAACAACAGCAGAGATCCATGCTTTATTCTGACCTTTGACTTAAGTTTCTCCAGGACCACAATTGAGATTCAATCTGTTCCAGTGTCTCTCCAGCTGCTCCTTCCTGAAAAAGGATCTACCTGATATACCTAGCAGAGAAGGTATTGAGAGTCTGTGTGGCAAATTGTTCAGAAATCTTTCACTGGGAGGTCCTATAGTCATCACTTACCCATTGGGTCAGACTTAGCCTTGGGCTACTTGTTGCCTTTTCAGAAAAATTTTCCTGATAATTTTTTCTAACCATCAATGGATGTTTTGTCCTCTGTCTTCTCYGCCCCCAAAAAGAAACAACTTTTATCCATTAGGAGTTCATTATACCTTTGATAAGAACTAGGTAGCACAATGGACAAAAAATCATAGCAATAGGAGCTAAATTTTATATTTCAGAGCAACTCGTGCTATTAATTCTATGAAGATGAGGCCCCTAGACTTGACTAAAATGGGAGATTTCCTGAATGACACTCACAATCCTGGATTATTCATATCATTTTTATCAAAGAAGACAAGCTGTCAACAACAACATGGTGAGTATTACACTGCACATACTTTACCTTTCACAAGGAGACTTTTAGCCTGGTTCTCAGCAGGTTACTAGGCACGTTGCCATCAGCCCACAGAAACACTGTAACCAATTAACCAGAAAATTTAAAAGTTGYTTTAGAAAGGGAAAAACAATGTTTCTCCCTTCTCCATACCTTGCACATCAGGGAAAATAATGCCATGTAAAAATTCTACAAAAGTTTGTGCTACCCTTCTTACAGAGACCATCAGTCATAATGGATCATAGTGCTGTCCCTCTTAGTTAATTTGYATCTCCAATCTATATAAAGGCAGATAGGTCTCCAATACCTATATATAGGTTTGTTCTCAAAATTCGGCACATCACTCAGAATCCTCTCACCCAAAACACCCAGCACTGTCCTGATCTCTGAGGATCTCTCCACAAGATCAGACTGCTGGTGCTTTATTTTAAGAAGACTTTGGGGTAATTTTTRAACACACTACCAGGAAAGTCAACAACTACGGCAGAGTGCACTTTTATTTTTTTATTAAATTATTCTTTAAAGACTGGTAAAGAATAGAAGGAACATATTTCCTACCTTAATTTTGCCAAGGACTGGTCACAACAACATCGTATTCATTATTCAAGTGTGTACAAGAACAAACAACAAAACCAAGAGCAAGTAGCTAAGAAGATGGTATAAATGTACCCAAAGTCTTGAAATAGAAAATGACATGTCTAAGGTCAGCTGCTAAGAATCTGCTAAAGGAAGATAACCAGTGGTGTATCAGTATAAAAATTGTAAATGAATGATCGATGGAGGAGTGTGGGAGTGGACCCTTACCTCAAAGAAAACTMTAAGTCAGCAACAGGAATACAGAAACCCTATAAAATTCCATAAGTAGGTATAAATGTTRACAGAGGAGACCACCAAATCCAGAAGGTCAATTAAAATGTTAAAAGACACAGAGAGAGAGATGCTGCAATAGCAAAAATATACAACAGTAAGAAATTTTGACAATGCCCTTGCAAGCTAAATAAGCGTGATGACAGGGATGATGCAGAGACTGCATTTTTGGATTCCATAAATACTCTTTTCTGAGGAAAACTTGTAAGAGGCAGCACAATTTGTGATTTTGACCTAAAACAGCACAGTGTGACTRTGATCAATATTACAGAATGGTTCTGCACTGCATTCAAATTCAGCTTGCTTGCAGCAGCAACAAAAAAAGGAAACACCCTCCAAAACACTACAGCAATATATAACTCACAAGAGGAAACTGCCTAAGTGCAAAGAAGTGTRTTAAGTGGAAATTAAGAAGAAAAGCTCAAGAAATTAAATGCTTGCATGTGGCATTAAGACTATGCAAAGACACTGAATCAGAGGCTCAGTGTAAGCCTCGAGAATATAAGCAAAATATTTTAGATCAGAGTAAAGGAACAAAAATAAAATAAAAAACAAAAACCCAAGACCACCAAAAAAAAAAAAAACAAAAAAAAAAAAACAAAAAAAACCAAACAAACCACCAACAAAACCAGAAATTACACAGGTCAAAAACTGGACATTATTCCTTCAAGCAAAGAAAAATGACAGCAAGCTGGACCAAGCTAAAGTAAAACCATAATTAGGCCAAAAGAGGCATCAGAACAGCTTTCAAAACTCTTCAAATACAGCAAAATCAGGAAACCTGACAGATGGGCCAAAAGGTGACCATTGTGGAAGGAGAACATTTGAGAAAGAGGGAGGTCTTGCACCATCATTTGTRACATGATATGTATTTCAGGTTTCCACATCAACAGAACCTCTTCACATACCAAGAATTTGAAGCATTATGAGTGGAAGATACTACCCAATTTATTTCAACTMATTTATTCTATGAGGCATCAGAACCAGCTGATATTGATCCCAGGAGTTCAAAAGAACATGTCAACAGTCTATCCACACTACTTGGACACAAACATACCAAATGGTCTCTTACAAAGTACTCAAATCAGAAATGGAAGATGAGAAAAGTGATGTGAACTTGTAAGAGGCCCAGCATAGGCAGGAGTCCCAGGAAACTCTGAGACCAGCAGCCTGCTGGTTTGGCCAAGTGGGCAGAAACTGGAGCAATCAAAAGATTGATAAACACCACGACAACAGGTTTTTCAGACACCATGATTTCAACACCTTGCAACCATGATTAGCAAGTTCCCAAGCCAAGACTTTGGAGAGTTAGGAGGAGAGACTCCACATTCCCTCTGAGTGGATTCATTTAGAAAACCCCTTTGAGGAGAGGCCTGTTCCAGAGCTCCGGACAA